GTGAACCCCACCTGCCTGCTTAGGCACCTGGGCAACCTGACTTTCAGAACCTAAAGTGGTTTGGGTTGCGCATATGTTGCAATAAGGATGTTCTGTTTCAGACTAGTTGATAGTTGACTGCATGTTCTTTCGTTGGTGATATTAGTGGTAGTAGAAAAATAAATGCTAGCCAGGTGGGGTGGTGTACACCTATAATCTCAGCACTCAGGAGGCTGAGGCAAGAGGACTGCCACAAGTTCAAGGCCAGACTGAGAGTCTATCTCAACAAACAAACAAACAAACAAAGCTGGCTTACAGCCAGAGACACTCTAGTCTTTCTTTTTTCTGTTTCTCTTAACTGTAGCAAAGTTTTATTAAAATTACAAAAAGAAACAGGTTCTGCAGAGAGAGTAAAAGAAAAGAAGTATGTCCTACAGCATGAGGATGGGCCACCATGGACAGACAACACAGTTAGAAAATTTCAATAGCGGCTGTTCTTTTTGTATCACCCACTCCTCAGGCTGATGTCAGATCTGGGCCAACTATAGAAAACCTGCTCCCGTTCTCACTAGAAGTCTACCTGCAGGGCTTTGGGAACCATGCTGCGTGTGTCCAGGATCTTGTCATTGACAGATCGCCCCTACTTCCCTAGCCAGCTTTGCCTTGCTCTCATCTCCTGTCTCATTTCCCCCCGAGAGATATAAATCCTCATAATCCCTTTCGGGGTGCTGAGGGAGTGGAGGCTCTGTCTTCTGTAGCTTCTTCTGGCTGGAAGGTGCTGTAGACCCTGCCCACTGGGGATCATGTGCTCTCCAATGCCCGCAGGATGTTGTGGCTTGTTGGCTGGGTCAAGGGGAAAAACCTGTCAGAAAATAGTAAGAAAAGAATTAGTGACTGTTGAGCTGCCTGTTTGATGGGAGAAAGAAATTTTACTATTAGCCCAAATATAAGAAGCAGGTCAGATCTCCACACTTCTCCTGGAGGACAAGGTATGGCAAAGAAGGAGATTAGATAAACTATTGAGAGCCTGAAAGCCATAGCCTTAGCAAGATGTAATTAAAAACAGAACCTCAGTATCCCTTACAGTACATGACTGCATTTACGCTATAGTGAATTAGGGTCATTAGTGACTGTACTAATCTGTACCCTGAGCTGTACTGGAGTCATACTTTCTGAAGGGGAGCCTCAAGTCTTCCAGAGGTTCTGAGGAATAGCTTGCTAGTTAGTCCTTTGAAAATTGTAGTGACCATTTCCCATGTAGGATTTGTACAGCTTGTCACTGCATTCCTTGAAGAAGAACCAGTGGTTCCTCAGGAACTGGGAATAAAGTTACGGTCTTAAAGGGCTATAGGGCTGCCCTTCTTACCTCCCTATCAGCCTTTTGATTTCCCAAGGAGATTTCAGACATGTTTCTTTGGGATCCCTTACAGTACATGAGTGCAACCTGCTTGGGAAGATGGACTGGCTCTAGGAGTTGTAGAATTTCCTGCTTGTGTGTTATACATGATTGTTTGTTGGTCTGCTAACTCCTTCTTTCCAGGTTGCTGCATAGGAATGTAGTACCAGAAAGACCTATTTGGAGTCTTTTTATAGGTCAGTGATGGATATCTTTGCCACCACTGGTATAGATATATAGCGTAATATCAATGCCTGAGTAAAAGCTATGAGCTCTGCTTTTTGAGCAGAGTTCCCGGGGGGAGTTGACTTAGGGACCTGTTGTGAACTGATGACTGCATAACCTGCCTTTTGATGACCTTGGACAAAGCTACTTTTATCAGTGAACCACCCTCCTCAGGGTCTTGAAAGGACAGGTCACTGATGTGTTCTGCCTGCTTATGTAGGTCTCGGAGATTACTTATTCACAAGAGTGGCCAACTTCTGGGACTGTGTCAAAGAGGCACAATTAGAAATAGTGCTTGTCTCAGGTTTGTCTAAGAGCATGGCCTCATACTTGGCAAGCCATCCTCCTGTTAACTACAAGTAATCTTTGGTCTCAAGAATCACTCTGACCTAATAGGGAGTCAGAACTTCTAGTTTCTGTCCTAAAGTTAGTTTTGCAGCTTCCTGCATTAGCACAGCTGTAGCTGCTACTCCCTTCAGGCAGGGTAGCATCCAGCAGCCACTCCATTCATCTTTTTGAAAAGTATGCCACTAGGCAAACTCTAATCTTTTTCTTTGCTTTCTAGGAGTTACCTTTTCTGTTCCTCAGGTCAGAGTATCAGACTCAAATCTCTAAGTAAAGACACTACTGTAGTTTTGAGCAGTATTTGCTTAGAAACTAGAATTGTCTGGATGGCTGGAATTTGGCAGTTCATGGAAACTTACATAGAATGAGCATTTGTTTAACCAGATGTTAGTTTGCTTTAAAGGCCCCTGGGAGTATAGTCTTACATTTTATTACACCTGTGTACAGGGATTATAATTCCATGAAAGCTCACTATAGCTTGAGATTGTTCACAGATCAAGGCAGAAACCTTTACCTTTCATTAGCCCTTGAACCTGCCTAAAATAAAACACAACTGAAGAAATCAACCAAACCCCAAGGCCTTTATTTTCTAACTCTGCTCCAGAGTTTGCTGTATGGTTCACATTACCCCACAGTTGACATGTGTACAGTGGCATAGTGCTCACCTCTAGGTACCTGTTTTGCTGAGTTGACTTAGGACTGGTCAGCTCTGGCCCTTTGGTAACACCAGCACTGCTGGATTGATGCTGCTCAGGCCATCTCTTCTTCTTGAGTGGGTATTAGGCCACTCCAGGCTCCTTGCCTTTATGTTGGGCTTCACTGTCTGTTCCAGAGGACTCTATTCCAAGCCCTGCAGCAGTTCAAGTGTGAATTTCAGCCACCACCATGCCACAGCCAGGCAGAGGCCCTTACGGACAGTTAGGATGATCCCATTCATTTCCCAGTATGTAGACCAGCTACTCATATGAGGGACCTCAGTGTTTCACATTCCCATCCCGCATCCTCCAAACGCTCCTGAGCCCTGTCCTTGTCTATATCAGTACTTCTTACAGAATTTACTAGTGTTGATTCAGAACTATCAAGTCCACTCTATAAATTAAGCAGGTAACTTAATTCTATTTAGTGGATATTGTATCCTATACTAGTCAGCTCCACCTGCTATGATCCCAGAGTGAAAGCCTCTCTGGTATTATGAAGGTCCACATAGTGAGTGGCTGACTGTTAGAAACATTGTTTTTTGAAAGGGAGTCATATGTGGAAATGTCATTATGTTGGAGATCTTTGCTATCATCTTCCTTTGAGCTGCATATTTCATTTATGCTTTCATTCTTGTCTTTTGTATTAAAAGCATTTCTGTAAATAAATGGGGATGATTGTCTGATCTAGGACTCTCTGTTACCAAATTAGAGCAATTGGGAACATTTCCATATATGACAAATATTTCTATAACACATTTTGTATTTAATCTATCTTAGTACCAGCCAGATTAACTAATGTAGTATTTGAAATATAGCGTAGAACTAACCTCTATGTTAATATTTTTATTGGTATTTCTTTTTTCATTAAGTTTATTGGTACAGTTTAGATATACATAATGATCACATTCATTATGGGAATTTGTCCCTGTACATGATGTATCTTTATTCCTTTTTTCCCATTCCCTCCCTTCGCTTCAGCCCTGCTTCCCCTCCAGATTTACAAAGCTTTGTTTCCATTTTATCCTTCTTTTCTCACTTTTTCCTTTCCTTCCTTTCTCCGTGCCCCCTCCCTAGTTCCTCTTTCCTTTTGAACAATTTCTTCCTATTTCACAATATCTGTTACACATTTTGATTCTTATTTACACTTTGTTTCTCATATAATGCAGTATTTACACGTGTGTCCTTTTGGAGGGGGGAAGAACACTTCTGCACTGTTGGTGGGAGTGTAGACTGGTGCACCCACTGTGGAAATCAGTGAGGAGATTCCTCAAAAAACTAGGACTAGAGGTCCCATTGGACCCAGCTATTCCCCTTCTTGATATCTTCCCAAAAGAATTAAGAACATCAGACCACAGCATTATGTGCAAACCCATGTTTCTAGCAGCACAGTTTGTAATAGCCAAATCTTGCAACCAACCCAAATGCCCATCAACCAAGAAATGGATAAAGAAGATGTGGGGTTTTTTATACAATGGAGTACTACTAAAGAAGGATAAACTCGAGACATTTCTAGGTAAATGGATGCACCTTGACACCATAGTCTTAAGTGAAATAAAGCAGACACACATTTAATGTTTTTATAGTACTGAAAAACCAGTATTTGTGTGTACATGTGCATGTGCGTGTGTATATGTTAGTTACTGGGCATTGAAGTCTGGGCATTCACACTAAGTTATATGCCCAGCTCTGTTTTATTTCTCATTCTGAAACAGGGTCTCACTGAGTCACTAAGGTGCCCAAGCTGCCTTAAACTTGCAGTCTTTCTGCCTCAGCCTCTCAGAGCACTGGAATTACAATCATGACCACCACACCTACACTGAAAACAATTCTTTCATCTAGGTGTTAATTCCTTTCTCAAATATTTATTTGCTTCAGTTGATTTTTAGAAATCTCTTTGCCAGAATCCTGATAATATTTTTTTCTCCTGTTTTGGAACACTGTAACTGAGTGAGAACAAACCAACCCCACCATAACTCAGAACTGAATTACAGCCAAATTTAAATTATTTGTGCTTTGGAGAAGAGAATTGGCAAGGAGGAATGGTCCATGGCTTGTGTGTTGTAAGATAATTGTAACCATGGTAGTATTTGTTTTCTAATGTTATGTGTTGCTACATTTTAGTGATGAGGTTGATCATAGATAAAAAGCCTATTTGTGTGTTTCTAGTTAAATTTAAATCATTCCAACATCATTATTCCAACATTAGAAGTAGTCATTTCCTGTGGAATTGCTGGTTTGGTGCTTTGCTTTATCTCATATGGAAGTGGTTTTTTTTTTTTGCCTGAGTTAGTTGTGTCTCTAAATAATGTAAGTTTTCAGGAAAAATACCCTAACAATGATATCTCTTAAACATGCAGATAAAGGAATATGAGAAGCTTGACAATGAGGAAGATCGCCTGTGTAGAAGTCGGCAGATTTATGATGCCTACATCATGAAGGAGCTTCTGTCCTGTTCACATGTAAATATTACTGCTTGTTCTGTTACTTTAGTGTGATAACTCTGAGACCGCTTTCAGTGTTTCTGGAGTGAATGTAAACCAGTAGGGACATGTTTTAAAAATTTTAAAATTCGTATTCAGGGCAGAACCTATTTCTTTGCTTTGTCAGGTATTTCTTTCTGATACACCAGTATCTCTTGCATCAAGGTGGCTTAGTATATTTTCAAAGCCTGATACTTTTATTGCAGAAAATTGGTCAACTCATTAATTTGGATCCACTGAAGAAAAAAAATCTCAATTCTAGACTTTTGGAAGGAAGTTAAACTTTATTATTTTTAATCTAATTATGTTTTAACAGTTAAGTTAATCAAATATTGACAGATATAAATCTTAAGTGGTTTTAGAGTTAATAAGGATAATAACTATTATGTTAATTTTGTTCATCAAGTTAAATAATGGTTGAAATAATTGTTTTCCTTATAAATCAGAGAAATAGTCTAATTTCCCTATTAGTTAAACTGAGCTCTTGGGAAATTATTTTACCACCAGTAAGTAAAATAATTAGTAATGAACATTTACCATGTAAAAGTCTGTACAGTAACACTGTATTTTATAGAAATGGACTGACCGTCCTGGCCTACTCTGTCAAGTACATTAGCCACTAGCCACCAGTGGTTGTTGGAATTTGTTTAAATTAATTAAATCAGATGAGGTTGTACTTATACTTCTTAGTTCTTCCTAAGCCACGTGTAACTCAAGCGCTCCACAGCCCCACATGACCAGTGGCTTCTGTATGGGATGGCACAGGAACATAGCATTTCCACTGCGGCAAAAAGGTCACAAAAGTAATGCGCTACAGTGCTTCTGCCCAGGTTGTGTGGTTACAGTTATTACTGCCACTTGGGTAACTGCAGCTAACTGTGACACCTCTGGTAGCTCCATTGTTTCACTGTTCTTTGGACCCGAGCTCCTTGCACAGAAGGAAATTCTAAGCTGGAGCTAATCATTGGTCTCTCTGCCATGCTGGGAAGGCCTGAGCCCTTGGAGAAGGCCAGATGTTCACAGCAACTAGAGGGGTTTTGGCAGTGTGATATGGTATTTAAAGCTGTTCTTGGTCAGGCATGGTGGCGCACACCTGTCATCCCAGCACTCGGGAGGCTGAGGCAGGAGGATTGATGCAAGTTTGAGGCCAGCCTGAACTGCATAGTGAAACCCTGTCTCAAAAAAAAATTAAAATAAAATAAAGCTGTTCTTCCTGTGCATCAGTAAAGAGGATACAACTTGAAGTTTTCGGGAGGAGAAGTTTGTAATTCACACCGCTGGAAGCGACATCCTGCTTGCTTCAGCTCCACTCTGCCAAAGCTGCAGTGAGACTTTCTTGAACCCAGAACTTTTGAGCACTGCAGCTTGGCGTTGTAAACCTGCCGTTAATTCCCAGGCACATCCTCATGGGCTCATTTTCTCTGTTATAGGAGAACATTTTACATTTTTAGAACTTTTATCTGCCAGTGGAGGAATGTGTGCATTCAGTGAAGGTAGAGTTCTTCACCCTTTATCACCATGGTAACCTCAACTTCGTGTGGGATTAGATGGGTCTGCCAGGCCCTGTTGTGCTGCTGTCACTCTGGGCGCGTGACTGAGAACTCCGGACATCCAGATGGATAAACATGCTTGATTTCTCTACAGATGGCCTGCAGATCGTAAAGAATGCTTGCTAATATAATTACCATAGGTTACCATTTAGTAATTGTTGTGTTAAGTTGTCTGTTATGATAGTGTATCATGTGCAGAGGTTTCTTACATTTTGCTATTATTTAAAAAACATGTCTTTGATTTTTGAAAGCCATTCTCCAAGCAAGCTGTAGAACACGTCCAAAGTCACCTGTCCAAGAAGCAAGTGACATCAACTCTTTTTCAGGTAAGATAAAATTATCTCAAAATAAACAGATAATTTTCTTACCATTGGGACTTGGTGACTTACTTTCTTTGTGTGCAGATACACTAGAAGAATGGCTTCGTAAGACTGGTCTCACTGGAACGGCTGAAGCTTAGTATGACTTCCACTGAAATGTGTCATTTGAAATGTGTCATATGTGTCCATTGAAATGTGTGTACTTTTTTCAGACTCAGGCTTTTGCCTGAGAAGAACCACTGGAGCTTTCTAGTAAACGTCATGAGCTAGAAATCAAGATAGGACATTGAAGAAGAAAACTTTTTCTTGTTTGACACTGTAATGCCTGTGATGACCAGAGACATTACAAGATTTATTTTGTAGTGTCAGGGTGTTTGTACTTACAGTGATTTTCCAGAATCAAGAGTAAATGCTTGAGTCACAACTGAGGAAGTATATTTGACCTTGACCATGTACATCTTGAGTATAATATAATTGTACAGATGTAAGTAACAAGCCTTAGCTAAATGTACAACTAATAAGCCTATGCATTTGCTGTTGTTTAGGTCAAATGGGTTCTCTTTGTCAAAGCCTCTTGCATCCTGTGTTTTCCATAGAGGAGCAGTAGTGTTTGATGTCTTATGACAGTACTTACCCAAAATTTTGATCATTCGATCGAGAAAATACCATTTTAACTCTTAGAACATTTAAACAGTAACAAGTCATGTGTTACTCTTGTCAGAATAACTAATGGACTTCTCATAAAATGTAGAACCTGTCTGCAGAGGCCAGTGGGTTCTAAGCCTGATCTCTGAAGTGAGCTGGCCTGACCTGTGTTTCCACTGCAGTTTCCTGCCTCTGTCTTCTCACCTGCAGAGGGGAGGTGCCAGGGCCTCACCTCAGGGAGTTCTGAGATCTGGTGAGGAAGGTGCGCATGGGCTGCTTCACATTGGACCTGCCTACCCGAGTGCTCCCCAAATGTTAGCTGTTATTGAGTATCTTACAGTCAAAAAGTACAATGTAAATGTCTTGGTTACTTTTCTCTTGTTGCTGAGACAAAATACCCGCCATGCAGAATTAAGGAAGGAAAGGTTTATTTAGCCTACAGTTTATGGAGGTTTCAGTCCATACTTGGCTGGCTCCAAGGCAGAATGGCAAGTGTTCAGGGCAAGTGTGCATGGCTGGGGAACAGCAAAGCAACAAGAACAAAAGGGAGGAGAGGCTGTAAGCAGCTTCTGTCTCTCATTTGCATATGCAAACTATCCACCCCAGATCAGGTATAGCACTCACACCCATAGTCCCAGCATTGGACTATGGATCAATCAAATATCTAGAAGCCCACCCCGTGACTGCATGAGGATTTGGGGGGACATGCAGGCACAAACCATAACAGTAAATATCTGCTTTTTGTTGTCTCCATACTTCTACATCAGAATTTCATTTTTCAACTGACTTTGCCATGGAGCACCAGTAGCCCTATAGTCAATCACATCTAACATTGCTAAACTATACCTTGTAGCTTATGGTGTATTAGTCAGTTCTCCATTGTACTTTGTAAATAAAAAGAGGTTTACTTTGTCAATTTGGGGGCAAAGTCTAAGATCAAGCAGCCTGATCAATTCAGCCTCTGAAGAGGGTCCCCTTGAGCGTGTCACACAATGGGTGTGTGGCGTCATGGCAGGAGCATGTGCTGGAGGAGAGATCACCTGGAGAGACAGGAAGCTGCAGAGATAAGGGAGGGACCAGGCTTATTCTTTTTATAGAAGCAACCCCTCCTGAGAATGAACCAGAGTCCCGGAAGCCCTCTGTCCATCCCTTCTGGGGGCAGCACATGGGGTGACCTAATCATCTCCCCTAGGATCCACCTCTTAAAGAACCTTCCCCACATTGCCACATGTTCAGCCGAGCTCCAACACGTGTGTGTACCCTTGGGGGCACACCCAACCCGTATCTAAATCGTAGCACATGGGGTTTTATTCAGATTTTCACCTTTCCTGTAGCATAAATAACATTGAAACAAGATTTTTCCAGGTGAGATACAAATGGCACTAAAATTCTTCTCACACCTTCACAAGGAGCATTCATTTAAAATGCCTTTTATTTAGATGCCTTTTAAAAACTCTTTACCAATTTGGTTTGTTCCTTAAATATATTTGTACAGATGTGTGGAAATAGTGTGGTGAAATTGATATAGAATGGGTAGTATTCTATTCCAAGGAGAAGAAGATAATAAGCTTATTAAAATGAGTGCATTGGTGCAATTTAACTGTAACATCAAAGCGTAGTGATTAAAATATAAATAAACATTTTGTGTTAGATTATCCTGTTCATAGAGATACATTAACTAATGAAGTCATTTGATGTTCATAGTAATAAAAATGCTCCCCAAGTAAATAGAAAAATTTTTATTTAATTCATTTTGTTTGCGAGCTCAACTTTAGAGATGTTTGGGGAGATACACTTGGCAGCGGAGGCTAGAAAAAGTCCTGGCTCTTATTTGGAGGCCTAAAAATGTAATGTTCTTACTTTAATTCCTGTTGTATCCTTCCAAATGAGATCTGGCTGGTCTGTCTCTGCCTCCCTTTTTGTTGTACTGGGGCGTTAAACCCAGGACCTTCCCACTGAGCTATGTCCCTAGCCCTTCATACAAAAATTTTTGAGACAGGCTCTCACTAAGTTGCCAGGTTGCCCAGGCTGGACTTGACTTTGTGATCCTCCTTCCTCAGCCTCCCAGAGTGCTTGGATTTACAAGCATGTACTACCATTCCTGGCTTCTCCTTTTACAGATTAAGAGGATGGAGGACCCAGGAGAGGAGCAGGTGCTCATAATCCCACTGCCACCTCTGGCTCTTGCACTGCTGCCCAGATATGTTGGTGGTTCCTTCTGCTAAAGCAATGCAGTGAGCTGGTTAAGAATTCCTAGAGACTATTGTCTTTTTACTCTTTAGCAGACAGTATGGGATGTTTTACAAAATACAAGAAAAATACTAATTGATGTGATTGTTGTTATAAATAGAAAGTCTGTGATATATAAATTTAGCATTTTATACACCTTTAAACAGTTAATCTACTTTGCATCTTGAAGTCTACAGAATCTTTTGAGATCTGCAGAGGACTTTGCTAGGGTGGATATGGTATGTTGCCATGGAATTGTAGTGATTCAGAGCTAAAGAGGACTTCAGAGAATTCAGCTTCCCTTTTTACCAAAGAGGGAGCCAATTCCATGTGGCTTCAGGGACCAGTCCCAGATTCTTCTCTAGACAGCAGTAGTCCTGTGGGGGGTGGGGGGCAGAAGTTAGTATGTCCCCAGGGAGTCTCCCTTACCAGTGCAGTCTCCTCTCTGTGTCAGGAAATGAGATTCCCAGGGGTCCGGTCTTCTTGGTTTCTGTAGACTTCTACTCTCACCACTGTGGCCATGCCATGGTTGGTTGTTCTTTTTATAAACATTCAGGGTGATCCATAAAGTCACAAAAAATGTTAAATTTTGCGTTGTTCTACAAACTTAGGTTGTCAAGATGTTTTCCAAAAAGATCTCATTGACTCTCAGTTGCACTGTAGAATAGTACCACACTTGATATTTTTGTTGTTCCTGATTTAAAGTTGCTCACCTGAAACAATTTGTGCTACTTACTTGGTAATGTGTAAAGCAGCACAGAACTGCAGTGGATTGCAGTTGGTCTGAGGAGGAAGGCACTGTATACATGAATCAGGAACCTCTGGCTTCATCCCCGTTAGCCCTGAACTTGCTCAGAGATCTTGAGGATGCACCTTCCCATTGTCCCAGAGCCTCCCTCCTGGTTACCTTTACCTCAATGATTCTACAAGGTACAAAGTCAGTGAGTAAAATAGCCAGTTAAAATAACTATGGATTTATTTGCTTTGAGTTTTTAAACTCAGTATGACTATAGATTACAAATGCTTTTAGTCATTTATAACTCACAGGCCCCAGTGCAAAATAAAAGTATGGGCCCCCTTTTCAAAAATTATTAAGAATTTTGAGATGGTGATAGAGGAGCATTAAACACAATGCCAGGGTCTTCAGAGTTGCACACTGTGAAGCTGGCCCTGGTCATTAGGAAGTGTCTGTGACTTGCCAAGAGCCATACTGGGCAGTAGGGATGTAGTGATCTATGGTACAGACCTGCCCCCGTCTTCATGGGACCTAGTTGTGGAGATAGGTATGAAATAAATAATCCCTGATGATGATTCTCTTAGTGAAAACTGGACAGGCACAGACAAGGACAAGGACATGGTGCCCTGGGAGGGCATCTCCATGAACCTCACCCAGGCTGAGTCGCATAGGTTTGTATGTTTCACTTTAATATAGTCATGTTTACACAGTGTGGGATTTCTTTTCCATCCTTTCTAGCCATACATAGAAGAAATTTGTGAAAGTCTTCGAGGCAACATTTTCCAAAAGTTTATGGAAAGGTATGCAATTTTATGCATATATATTATTGGCCATGACCTGTGTGTAAGCATTGGTGTTCGACTGTTCCCTCTATACTTTATAACTTGAGGTTTTTGTATCTTCGCATCCCTTTGGCCTTCAGCTCTTTAGCTTCAATTAATCTAAAATTTAAATAGACAAGGGAACCTCAGTTTTAAAAGTATCTTATTGGGAAGCCTTTGCTAATGCAAACAGGGGTGTAATTTATCAGATTCATTTCTTTGGATTGTAAAGGTGTATCTCCCAAAGGTGGACAAGCCTGAGCTTTATGTATGGATAGAATTTAAGGGTGTGGGCTAAAGTGTATTTATGATTGTATACACCATTAAAATACCTAAGAGTTCTGTCCTTGAGGGTTACTCAACCCATAGAGCATGTTCGTCATACCACATTCTGTGATTTGCCAGTGGTACCTATAGAAACATTTATCTCAAGGACTGTTTGGACACCCACCCATCAGTTCATCTATGGGGCATGCCTCTGACAGGGCACTGTTGGAATTAGACTTCCTACAGGTCGTCTGCCTTCACTCTCCCTGTCCCTGCCCTAAATGGGCTCATTTCTAGACAGTCGACACGATGATCGTGCCTCATTGCTGGAGATGTGTGCACCTGCTCAGTAATTAGGTAAAGAACAGACACTGCTTTTCTGTAGTTTTCTTCTCCATGTACTTACAGAGCTAAAGCAATTAAAAAACTGTGTTGTGATTCTACTAGAGTTCAAGAGATAATTTTATCCTGGAGTGGAGTCAATAGTTTGGGAAAGGAATATGCGTACAAGTGATTATATTCTTCTGAGTTACAATAGAAACTCTGCCAGAAGGCAGCACAGTGAGGCCAAGGAAAGGGCTGCTGGCTCTGGGCTGGCTTCTGTCTCCATTGCTGATTCTTCTCAGACCTGAGCTTTCCCACTTCTTGGGTTACCTTTGTGTTCATGTGACCCTTGGGAGACTGGAGAGATGGACTGGTCATCCAAAGCCAGGAGACAGGTCTTTCCTGGATGGGTTGTAACACCAAGGTGCATCCTTCTGCCAGCCCCCGGCTAGCTGATGCGTAGCCTTTTCCCTCCTGGAGTTAGCCATCACCTGTTCCAGGGTATACAAAGGAAGCTGCTTGCATTTTAAGAAGCATGCACAGAACACGTTTTGAAATATTTGCAGTTTTATGTAAGTTATTTTAAAAATCATTTTGTTAATCCTTATACCTTTTAGTTCTCTTTCTTTTAATTCATTCTCAAATTTGAAAAAGATATTCCACATCAAGTCACAAGTTTTGGTTTTGGAAAGCACCAGTCCTCTATAAAGATGGCCGTGTAGCCCTCAGCATCATTGGGCCTGGTGGGCGGGGCTGACAATTCTGGTGACTCCCTCTTAGTGGCCACCCTGCAGTCTAGTAACAAAGAGGAAGTGCTCAGCAGTACAGGGGCTTGCTTGGCTGTCGCCTCCTCCTGAGGCCTGAACTGGAACAGGGACTAAACTCCCCATGCAGCCGGCTCTGGGAGCCGGGATCTGTGGAGGCTTATGAGCCTGTTGCTCTGCAGCTCAGGGGCTCTGCAGCATGGAGACTGAGAGCACCACAGTTGAAACAGGCCTCTGCCCGTACTACATCAGGGCATTTCTGGGTCTTCAACTTCTGGTCTTTGGGGCCTCTCCAGGGGCACTGGCTATTAACAGCCTGTAATCTTCTCCAAGGCTTCGCCTTCTGCCCCTGTGTTGATCAAAGGTAGTGAGTACTCAAGTCACCCAGAGGCAGACAGGGCTAGGCCCTGACACCCAGGGGACAAAGAAAAAACGTGTCACAACAAATCTATGCCTAGTGGGCAAACATGCACCTGCTTCTCTTTTCCTGGTTCACTAACTCAGGAAGGGTACTGTACTGAATGCGAAGTCACCCACCATTCTATACCACCAGCTGAGTACCAGGGCCTGTGAAAAAGGATTATACATGAGTCCAAGGGAAGTTCAGGGACCAGCTATGGGTTTATAAAAGTGGGGGACACCTAGATGGCTGCTTTTTCTGCAGGTACATGCCAGAAAAGCTTAGAGTTTCTCAGAAGGTAATGTTAACCAACCTCTTAGAGATGTTAGGGAGATCAATGAAATGCTCTGTAAAAGCCATAAAGAATTCTGGTTTTGAGTTTTAATCTTACTAGTATTAGAAGTGTTTGTAAAAGATCTGCATTTTTTAAAGTCCTATTAAATAAAACTCAGAGAATTGTGGTAGTTGGGTGTTCTGAGGCATTGTCTTATGCTGATGCTAATACCTGTAACATGCACTTTGCAGATATTCCTTCTGACCTTCCTCAGTTTGTTTTCCCCTTTTCTCCTTTCTCATTCTGAGTACAATGAATCCTTTGTCTTTGTAAGGAATCATGCAAGAGGCTAGATGAGATCCAGTTTTCACCAAGAACAGGCTCTGCTTTTAAGGAGAATTCCATTTAGGACTCATTTTCTTTTTCCTTTCATCTTTTCTTTTTCCTCTTGCCCTGTGTTGGGAGCCACTGGAGCTGGAAATCTATCATATGTGTGAGGGCAGGACAGAGCCAAAGTGCCTCAAGCAGTCAAACTACCTCAGTCTTGAGAAAAACATCCTGCCTGGACAATTACAGTCGTTAGTCACTAGACAACATTACCTCTCCTGATACTAACTTTGCAAGAGTATAAAATAAACACCCCTACTGTTGAAGTCAGTCCTCTTGCCTAGCAACTAAGAGGTAACTCCACCTGACCCCAGCTACTGTCTCTTGTCTTTGTTTGCTAAATCCTCTCTCTGTTTTCTCCTGGGGACCACCGAGAGACCAGCAAGTCCTATAGCCTTGTACCTTTCCCTCCCTCCCTTCCTCCCTTCCGCCCTTCCTCCCTTGTGGTTTTTTGTATATGATGCTAAGGGTCACTCTTGGGCCCCTGAACATCCTAGACAAGTGCCTTACCACTGAACTATACCCTCAGCCCCATAGAATGCACTTATTTTGAACATCGATTTAGTAATTAACTTACAGATATATTAATTTTAAAGCAATTAAAATAATTTTAATTATTAAATAATTAATTATTTAAATAAATAATTTTTATTTATTAATAATTAAATAATATAATATATTATATTAATGTTATTATATTAAGTATATTATAATAGTATTAAGTAATAATTATTTAAATAATAATTATTAAAATAATAAATAATGCTCATTAATTAAAAAGCAATCAAAATAATGTATTTAGTAAGTAGATATTGATAGTTATTTTTGTTAAGTCATGGTTGAACAAAATACTTGTTGAGCAGTTTAGAAGATTGTAGAAGCATGTCAGGGTGACACTGAATCTTGGGGTACTAATCTGAGGGCTTCTCTTCCACAGTCTGTATCTTTGAGAGGCAGTGCTAAATTTTTATTAAGAAGCCCAGAGCCTGTTTATCTGGGTTCACATGGGCTCCACCCACTCTCTTATCATGTGACCTTGGCCAAGCCATTTGGTATTCACTGCCTTAATCTTTTCTACTGTATGATGGGATGCCAGTAGTACCTGTCCTTAGAATTGTTGAAAGAAGCAGATGTGCTAGCACCTGGTAAGCACAATTTTTTAGTGCTTACTACTCTTAAAAGTATTTATAAACATAAGTTTTTCATTATTTAGATCTGCACTGTCCAGTATGGTAGTACTAGCCACATAAGATACTGAGCACTTGCTGGGCATGGTGGTGCACACCTATAATCCTAGCACTCAGGAGGCGGAGGCAGGAGGATAGCTTCAAGTTCAAGGCCAGCCTGTACTATATAGTGAGACCCTGGCTCAAGAAAAAAAAAGATACTGAACACCTAAAATGAGACTAGTCAAAATTCAAATGTACTGTAAGTGCAAAAGATGCACCAGATTTCAAAGATCTTTTATATAAACAAGAATGTAGAATAATCCTGTTGATAAATTCATCCTGATTCTGATTATGTATTGAAATGATCATTTTTTCATCCTTTGGGTCAATGAAATGCAGTGTACTATAATGTTAGATATGTGACTTGTGTTGTCTCCCTATTGGATAGTGCTAAGTCAGATAGAAATGTCCCATAGTTTATAACCATTAAGGGACAGACATGAATCTTTCGTGTGATTTGTAAAGTAAAGCAATGATTATTGGTGAATGTTTTGTGAAAAAAATGCTTGCGATAACTTTCCCTATTTGAGAACCAACACAAGTAATGCAATTCTAGTTTATTATTCTACATATCCATTGCATTTGATGTTTAACTTCTCAGTGATTATTTGTGTTCTCTTTTAGTGACAAGTTCACTAGATTTTGTCAGTGGAAAAATGTAGAATTAAATATTCATGTGAGTATCATCTTCTTTTTTTCCTTTCTTAAATTAAAAATTCTTTGGCTTAACCTCATGAGAAAATATTCTGGAGCGTACTCCCCAAGGGTACACTGCCTAACAGATGTCCTCTGTGTAATTCTGTGTATTGAAACCCCTCCTCCCTTGCTCACTGACACATGGTTGGAGTTTTAACTGTTTTCAAACAGATAGATGAATGTGCTTATTTAAGAAAGTAAGAAAGGCTATTTTAGGCAGTCATTGGTTGACCCTTTACCAAAAATAGTAGTTAAAATACAAATCATCCTAATACAACTTCCACCACCTTGTCTTTGCCGTTCTTAACAAGTTCCTTTTCTTTTTCACGTTAGAGGTATGATAAGAAAATTGGATGTAATAATAAAAATAATAGCATCTTTTAGGAGAACAAGGTAGCATCTTTTTATTAGTTTGAGAATGACAAAAGCAGTCTTCAAACACAGGCTTTCCTCAGGGTTCATGAGCATCAGTACTTCCGGGATGTCATCTTTACTTCTCCGTAGACTGCACATTTCCTCATGCAGCCTACTGACCTCTTCACCATCTCCCTCTCATCAGCTTGCAACTGGGAAAAAAGAATCAACTGGATCCATCAAGTTCCTCCCTCTCTCCCTCTTTCTCTCCCTGCCTTCCTTCTTCCTTTGATTTATACTTGAAACAGTACTACTGTTGGAAGAGGAATTTTCTTTAACCACTTTTTCCGTCATATTTCCTGGCAAGACTTAGAAGTAAGAGGCAACAACACATTTTTAAAATCTCTAACATCTCCCATGGATCATTCTTCTGTCCCTGCTCTGTGGGCACACCTCAGGTGCTCACAGACTGAGAATCAGCTGGGAAGTCTGAGGACCAAAGCAAGCTGGTGTTGTGGTAGGACAGAAGAAATAAGATAGGTAAAAGGAAGACAAGGAAATCATAACGGAAAAAATTGTACTCATAAGAAGACTGTAACTTTCAGGAGTCAGCCAAAGTTACCTATGACTATCCCATATCAGCATTCCTTTGGTTAAATTTAGACTCTTCCTGCCGGACCCATCACACCCAGAATTCCTCAGGAATATGAAAAGTCCATAAATTGACTTAATTAAAAAATAAGGAGCAGGAGCCTGATCCAAGATAAAGGAGTATCAGGTTAATAATATCCCTTAGTTATTGTGGGCTGACCAGGTCCGCAATCTCCCAAACGAATGTACAGTGAAGGCTTAATAACAAGAGGCAAATGGAATGATTTCAGGACTCCAGGAGGATCAAAGCCCTCTCACAGAATTCAAGATTCTCTTGGGGCTAAGACCCAGATCTTCTCTGGGTGGCCCATATTTATTTGGTTATCAGAAGAAAGGAGGGGAGTACTCAAGGGCAGAATCACTCAAGGTCTTCTCCATGTAAGGTATTAAGTTAATCCTTAATAAGGACTAAAGTAATCCACCCAGAAATGAGATGCCTGCGGTGCTATAGTCTTTATCTCGTTGAGATGGATCCAGGTGTCCTTGGCTGTGATCTTGTCTTATCCTTTGAGGCTTTCCGACTTCATCTGCTATTACAGGTTTTAGTAGGGATTAGTGACTCACAGAGCTTCACTTACTGAGTCCATCGCCCACTTCCAGACAAGTGGCCTAGACTTTGGACAGATTCACAAGTAAACATAAAAAGCCAATTGGTTAAGTCCTGTTCAGGGCTGCTTCATAGTGATATCCATCAAAGGAGCATGTTGAGCATACCCAAAAAGTCTTAAATTAACTATTTAATAAAAACCCACCCATATCTATAAAATGGGCTAATGTCCCTCTGAGGGGTGGGCCACCTTTTCCTAGGCTTTTCTACCACTTTAAAAATAAATATATATATTCCAAACTGTAATGCATCTCATTTCTCTGAGCACCAATATGCCACTCTTGAGCGCATCCTAAAATCTTTGCTAATAAATCCTTTCTCATGCCTCTTACTGCCATGTCCTAAAAACTCTTTTCCACAATGGAAGTCACCAAACCTGCTACAGAAGAGAGGGTTAAGTTACTTATTTTAGCATCAGATATCTCTCAGATCTAGTGACAAGGTGATACCCTGTGATGCTTCAAGTGTTGTGTGGGGAACCCATAGAGTCTTCACTCTGCATTTTCCAGGATATATCAGCAGTGGACATTTGCAATTGTCTGATGGCCTCTTGCCATGAATGTAAGATTCGCTTTCTGCCTTTGTGCCTTCTAATGCTATTAAAATGACTTACACACTGGAGCATTACTGAATGAGCGATTGCTGATAAAAGGAAAATGCCGATGAATAAAGCTTCTTTATGTTCTTTGCTCACATTTGGTCTTGTTTCATACTCACATGCCCAGCATGAGTCTTGTCTCTTTGCTGATGTTATCAGTAAGAAATTCACGTGGCTGGCATCTGTTGGGTTTTCTGATTAGCCAGCCACTGTCCTGAAGGTACAGATGCCCTTGACCTGGACTCTCATCTTTCTACCCTGACAGTTCCTAGAATTGTTGAATTGTTCCCAAACTTTAGGGTTCAACATGGTTGAAGTTACTTCTCATTTTGACCAGAAATTCCACACATACTAATCTTCAGGGTATCACAATCTAAGATTTATAAGAGTAGAAGAGCCAACCAGCTGACTTGGTTCCCACTCTCCTCATCTCATTTGTCTCCACTTTGTGCCTCATGTCCCTGTACTATGCAGAGGAGGTTACAGGCAGTCTAACCGCCCCTGTGCATTATACCATGCAGCTGAAGCAATCAGCTGGGAAGGGGTGGTCGACACCCATATCCAAACTGCTCATATAGTTTGCATGAAAACAAATCTTTGTAATGATATAACTTTGTGTCATTTCACGTTGTCATTTTGCACTTTGATTTCACAGTTGACCATGAATGATTTCAGTGTACACAGGATTATTGGACGAGGAGGATTTGGTGAAGTATATGGTTGCAGGAAAGCAGACACTGGAAAAATGTAAGCCTTCTATCTTTATACATTTTTCCGGAACTGTAAATACAATTTTATGTTTGCACCCATAGAAAATCCCTATGCAGAAACATGGAAGTCCATGATCTTTCTCTGGAAAAAAGTTATCACAGAAAGAAATAGTCTACATGCTGTTTAGCACGTGAATGAGAACAGTAAGCCTGAACCTCATGTCAGGGATCATGGGAGTTAACAGTGACCATGTATGGAGTGCCCACTTGGCTTGGCTGTGACTGGAAAGCAGGGGCCCAGAGATGAACAAGGAGCAATTCCAATCAGCTGGGATCCTGTGTGGTGTTTGCCTTCCCCTCAGATCACACTGAGGCATTCTTTGCTTTACACAAGAGAGATATTCTTTTCTAAACAAAGCCCAACCTCTGTGGTTAAGTGTAGGCATTTAGGGATTACCTGCATTTCAGAAGATGTCAATGCCATAAATTAGTAGTTTGGGTGCTGGAGATGGGGGCCCCATATCTGACAGTGGCAGTGATCATGGGGCTACGTCCCTCAGAGCCATGTCCTATGGGAGGCCAAGGTGAGGACACAGCGTACAGAGGTACTTTGAGGGCATTAAGTGCCATAGGGTCTTCTGGGCAGGGTTCCTAAGCATGGGGAAAATTGTTCTTTTTTAATTAGATGTGAACATATTCCTGAAGGCAAGAGAAAATAGAAACATGATTTGATAGACCCAGAACTACAACTGTGTTTAAGTGACAGGCATTTGGGGGCAATAGGCAAGGTGGAGTGCTATTTGAAGCATGGTTTGTAAGATGACTGAATCATCAAGGATGCCTTGGGGTCCCCTAATTCAGGGCCTGCCTTACCCTGCATCCCTTCCCAATGGATGAAGAAGTCTGCAGGTGCCCCCACCCCCACCCTGCCCCGCCAGTTCAGCGTGCCTGTCCTTCGTGTTCGGGCGAGTTCTGTAGCTGCCATTATTTGGAGTCTGAAATTGTCCTTCACTGTTTTGGGGCTGTGTGCAAGGTGAGCGGAGGCCTGGCACAAAGTTGAAACCTGGGGTCCTGAGACAGAGTGGTCTTCTATCCTGGGCAAGGGTCCTGGAGTCATACTAGCAAAGGCAGGTTGACTTTCCATTCCGGGCACAGTGTGACCTGTGCTCCCACATCCTGGTCTGTAAGCAGGGAAATCAAAGTACTTTGTCGTGAGAATTAACTAAGATGATCAAGCTTGGGAACATTCCTCTCCTATAGTAAGTACTAGAGCACAGAGTGGGCTTAGACACAGGGTTTTCTTCAACCCAGACCTCTGCCTTGGAAGTTTTTCCCCATTCTATTCTGGCACAGTGGACTTTTGATCCTAATTAATACAGTTTGCTTGTTACTTGCTACATCTTCATTAAGGTTTTAGTTTTGCTTCAGCGTGGTAGCTTATGGAAGTACTTAGAATATCTAGTCTGTCATACGATTTTGTTAAAGTAAATAATAACAATTGATTTCTTTGTATGAAATTATTATTTTACCTCACTCTCTAAAACTACCAGCCTGTGGTCTATATTCTGTCTCTTGACCAGGCATGATGGTGCATGCCTTCTACTTGGGAAGCTGAAGCAGGAGGATTATTAGAGCTCAGGTTTGAGATGAGTCTGGGCAGCATAGCAAGATCCTGTCTAACCAGCAACAGTAAATTCTCAGTGTTGTATAGGTGAGGTATGAAGAGCAATCAAGAGCCACACAGTAGGAAGTGGTCAGGAGTTATGTACTGGTCAGCTTTACCCTCACTGTGCCAGGCTATCTGACACCCACAATTTAAGGAGGAGAGGTTTAATTTGGCTTACGGTTTCAGAGGTTTCAGTTCATGATCTCTGGCTCCAAGGCAGAAGTATTATAGAGGGAGACTATGGTGGAGCGCAGCAGCTTACATCCCAGTGTCTGGGAAGCAGAGCACAGGGGAAGAGCACCAGCAAGAAGTATACCCTCCAAAGGCTCAGTGACCACCTCCTCCAACTGGACCCCACCTTCCTTCGGCACATTCAGCTGTGGACATCAACAAATTAAGTATAGCACCCCAGGAACAGTCACCTCTTTAGGAATCTCTTAATCCAGTCAAAATATCAAGTTTAACTGACAGGTCTTCACTCCTAGAAATCCTTTTAATTTCATTTTTTAAACTTTTTTTTAATAGTACGTATTTGTTATACATATTGATCACATTCATCGTAGAGAAATTGTTGTTGTTGCTGTTTGTGAGACGGGGTCTCACTGTGTAGTTCAGGCTGGCCTCCGACTTGCAGTGATCCTCCTGCCTCAGCTCCCAGGTGCTGGGATTACAGGATTACAGGTGTGCACCACCACACCCAGAGGGAATTTGTACCTGTGCATAATATATCTTAATTATTTTTCCCTCATTCTCCTCTGCTCCCTTTAACCCTTCTTCCTCTCACATTTACCAAAGCCTTGTTTCTGCTTTTTTCTTTCCATTCTTTTTTTTCCCTTTTCCTCAAGACCATAATCTTAAATTAGACACAAAAGTTTAAATATCACATTTTTGTGTGTGAGAAACCCAGAGGGCAAACCAGGAGCATCATGAAGGGTAGATATTGGGAAGTTGGAAGAACATGTTCAAATGGGAAGAGGAACAAGGGAGCAGGGAGGAAGAAGGAGGGAAGGGGAAAAGAAAAAAAACTCCGAGGAATCATACTGCGGAATCATACTCTGTTCTTGCCAGGCTGCAGGCTGCCAGGAAGGTCCCACATGAGCTGGCTCCATGCCCTGACCCCCACCCGGGGAGTCACCACTCACACCCCCGGAGCTACGCAGTGGTGCAGTGGCTCTTAACGGCTTCCTTCTCAGAGTGAACTTGCTCAGCCAGTGGCCCAGGGCCTGTGTCCTGTCTGCTCTGGTATGAAAATCATCCTGATAGAGGGTGATACCAGAAGTAGTGTGAAGCCTTTTAAAAATTTCTCATCATAAAATTGAAGTATTTAAAGAACACATCACTTTATATGTTCTCAATATTTTATCTCATAATTAAGTATGGGAATGTCTTGCCAATTGATTCACGAGAAGAACTCCTAGAAAAATGGGTAAAATTACCAAATTTGAACATTTGTCTCTGTTTTCATGTAACTTAGTTTTGATTAATAAAAAGTAAGTGAGTTTTCTGTATTCCACCCCACTAAGATTCCTTCAGCCTGGCCTTGTAAAGTAGATCACCAACTGGGAACTTCTAGTTGCACACACAGTTACCGGTCCTAGAAAAATTTGTAAAAGCATCGCATACATTTCCTATTGGCTTTCTGTGTCGATTGAAAAACTTCCTGTTTTCTTTTGCCTGTGGTTATAGAACGTGCTAGAGAACACGTCTGTGTTTCCTTAATGTGAGTTTGTTCCAAGTTCTTGAAAATCTTCAGTTGTCAGTTGGTCTTCTCAGTTAACTTTAACCAGTGATAGATATGAAAATCTTTTTTATTATTTGAAATATAATAAACATCAAAATTTAAAACATACCAATTTAGCATCTTATACTTTGTATACTCTTATCAAAATTTGACTGGTAGTGAATTCACAATTTCAGCCTAAGTATGATACATAGGCCTCTACTCCCAGTAGTACTAAGCAAGAGCAATAAACAAAATTTTCATTTCAATGTTTGTTTATATTCATCTACATGTAAAGATAGAAATATCTTAAGTACTACTTGTTTCCCATAGTACATAAGCATCTGTATTTCTTATGTGGTGACTGGGTAGCATATTGTGTTTCAGTTGTCTGTTTGGTTTGGGGTGTGATACTAGGAATTATACCCAGTGCCTCACACTGAGCTACATCTCCAGCCCATTTTTAATTTTTAGTTCAAGACAGGGTCACTTAAACTGCTAGGCTGGGTCAATCTCTGGATCCTCCTTCCTTAGCCTCCCAGAGTGCTGGGATTATAGGCATGCATACCATATTTGGCTCCATTTTACTTATTTTAAACATTGCCTAAATCTCTAGGAACTCTCAGCAATGTGATGTGTATTGTTTAAATCTGTCTAGATGTAGTTACAGTATAGATTTTTCCATAATCTTTATGCTTGTAGGTATGCGATGAAGTGCTTGGATAAGAAGAGGATCAAGATGAAGCAAGGAGAAACGTTAGCCTTAAATGAAAGGATTATGTTGTCCCTTGTCAGTACAGGAGTAAGTATCCAGTTTCCAGCTTTGCTTTTAAAATTTATTTGTCTACTTTATAGCAGGGTGGTTTATTCCTGCTGATTACGGGGCAGGGCAGTTCATTGGTAGGGTGGGATTTGATATCTTCTTGTACTCAGAATCAGAAGTTACAGAGCCCAGCCACCATCACTGTACACCGTGACTTTTCCTTCAGTGCCTTTTGACTTGGCCCTAACTTCCTCCTTTGCAGAGTATAGTAGCTCTGTATAGTAGCTGAGATGGCAAAAAAAAAATCAGAAAAGAAAAAAAAATCACTTTAATATAGTTTAAAAAAAAAGTGACTACATGACAGAGCAGGGCTGACCCTCAGAGAAAACAAGGAGAGGAAGGTAGTTCTTGCCCTCCACGAGCAAACGGAGAGGGAGTGGCTTGGGTTGGTCAAGTATGAATGGTCCTGTTAGAGCTGGCCCTCATCAATGTTTCCTTTGGATGTGGCTTCCTCTTGCTCTCTGCACTTGCTCCTTGATCCCGCAGTAGATTTTGGTTATTTCCGTGCCCAGCACTGCATCTCTACCTGGTAGGCATTTTATGTACTTGTCAAGCTATCATTTTTAGTGCAGGATTGGTAGAAACAAACTCTTACCCTGGGCCATCTTTACTTACAAACCAGCTGCCCATTCTGACCTCTCAATTTGTGTGTGTCATTGTCTGTGGACTCCCAACTTGGGAGCTGAATGACTTTAATATTGAATACCCATACCAACTGAGTTTATACCCAAAGAGATGGGGATGGGTCTAAGTCTTACTTACTGCTAGATTCCATTCGAGGTCACCTTCCCCAAGTGGTGGAAAGCATCAAATTTTATTGGCTAACCGAAGAATCTCTTTCAATTAGTAAGCAAGGAACTTGCAGCCCAGAGTGATCGACTTGCTTACCCTAGTCCTGGATGCCCTGGGCAGGGCTCCCTTCCTGCCGTTGCTTTGTGAGCCAAGCACATTTGCTTTATCACCGTCCTTACTGTGTCATAGTTTGTATTATTCTAGCTTTCATTTTAATGCTTTTAGAAGAGCTATTTCCTATCAGAGCAATAGAACAGGGTAATCTAGCAGAACTGTAACAAGTGAAACACCAGGACTATAAATAATTTCTAATTATGTGCTTCTGCCTCCTGATACATGGATGTTAAGCGTTTCAAATAGGAGTCATTCTGTGTGTGTGACCCAGCGTGCGACTGATGGAAACAGGGACAGTGTGAATGCCCTTAGCTCCCATTCTCTACTGGGATTGTCTGTGTCTAAATTTCATGCATGAGCACCTTCACCGAAGACTTTAGTTATTATTGTGTTAATTTTTAATGAGCTGTCCAAAGCGTTGGATAAGAAAGCCTATGTGAAAAATGTTTTGATGTGGATAAACAAGGGATAGTTTCCATGTAATTTATTTTATTTTATTATTATTATTTAATTTTTTTTATTTGCATGAAGGAGAATATAGTTAAGCAGTTATGGGATGATTCTTCACTGGTCTGACCTCAGAGGAGAATATTTTAAAATGAGGTTATGTTGGACCACTACTTTGAACTTATTTAAAGAATTATTTCTATTTTTGTTCAAACATTGAGCCATGTGCTGTTTTAAGAATGCATACGTAGGAAAGTTAATCTAAAGAGTTATAGTGAAGTTACTTGGGACCGTTTATTTGCTAATCAAAGGCCAGTTTGGGTAGATTTTTAATGACACTCTGTTTAAATTGAGCTCAGTAGGCACAGCTCGGGGACAGTTGGTCTGTAGGGTCTGGGTGGTGAGATGCACTGCACTCTCTCCTGGTGATTTCTTTTGCGGGAAGTTTACCTTTGCTTTCAGTCATCGTCCCGCAGGCTCCAGTGTTCCTGCCCCACTGCGAGCCAGGAGGAATTACTGTACTGCTTTCTTCCGCCGTGCCTGGATAGTAGAAAGGGAAATGCTTGTGTTTGAGAACCAGGAAAGTGTCTCCACTGCTGGGAAGAGCACTCAGCAAGTTCACAAACAAGGTCATGTAGCTTCATGGACTGCACTGCTCAGTCCTTTCCAGAAGCACAGTGAGGCCTTGGAGGGACAGGCACTTCCGTGTGCTGGGATCCCAACCCCTCATCCAGCTGCCCGGAAGGGGACGAGGTGATGTCAGTTAGCTTGGGAATTCACAGACAAGGCACTATAAAAGATTATTGGGGCTCGAGAGGCCTCTGCCAGGGTGGAGGTATATCTCCTGCAGGGCAAGGCTCTTGCTCACTCCTGGCAGGCAATCCAGAGGAACCTTTCCACCTGAGAGTCTGTTCTACAAACCCAAGGGCATGTGCCCACCCTGACCCACAGACCAGGCAGGTCATCCTGGCCGCATCAGCTTTAGCTTTCATTAATCTCAGGCTGTGTTTTCATATTGGTCACTGTTGCAGTCTCTTGTCACAGCACCTGTCCAGCACCTGGAAAGAGAGGGAGAGCAGGCTGTGGGTTTAGGAGTGGTCGCTGATCTTTCTCCCTTACTGCACTTTTACTTTACACCATTTCTTGAGAAATACAGTGAGACTTGCATTACAATAATGGGAGCAGGTTTTATTCTGTAGCTAGAGAGAGTGGGAGAAGCAGCAGGTCCCCATTCCCACAATGTGAGGAGGGCTGGGGTGCTTCCTCTGGAGAGTAGGGAGCAGGTGGACCATGGGGCCCATGCAGAGCCAGGAAAGGAGAAAGGGGGCCTGTCCATGAGGCTCATCTGGGTTGCCCCTGCTGCTTGTTGAAACTGGGCTCCTGCTCTTCCACAGAGGCTGGGGGATGAGGGTCCTGTCTGAAGGTGTGGGCTGACTTGCATAGTAGGTGCTTTGGCAGCTCTGAGCTTTCTCAAGCAGGCGTGTCAGAGAGCGAGGATCATCCTCCAACTGCAGCCTAGAGCTTTGAGAAACAGTGCCCGCGCTTGTTCTAGTGCTGAGAGGTGAAGTCTGAAGCCTGGTCGGAAAGAGGCCTCTGTAGAACCCGGCCAGCTCTGGGCCGAGGAGAGAGACCTTGGTCATTGCTGAGGAAACTTGCCTGGTAAGGAGAACTCTGGAGAGAGTGAGGAGGCGGGGCATTTGCATCTTACTGAGCTCAACAAAACATAAACACATAAAACAGCTATACTAAAAAGGGGCAACGTTTCATGACCTCAAACAAGTTCTTTCTTTTGGGGGAAACCCTAATTTCCTTATCTTTAAGATAAAGAAGTTGTGATTTTTTTTTATTTTAAGTGCTCTTCCTACTCAGGTAGCCTATGATTTCTAAGTCTAAAATGTATGTCCCATCATAGTAGCATGGTATTTTAAGCAGATTTTGACCTTTTGCTGTTGCAACATACACCATCATGTTCAGAAATTTCCCCGGAAGGGTCTCTCTGTGCCTTGGTGACGTGGATGTAGTTGGCAGCTCAAGCTGAGAACGATCTTGGCTTTAATTTTTTTCATACATGTTTGCAGTACATAATAATTACATAATCCATCATGGGGAATTGGTACATGTACATAACACATCTCAGTTCTTTTTTCCCCCTTCTCCACTATCCTCCCTTTTTATTTTGCCAGCATCAGATTCACTTATTTATCTTCTAAGTCCTTACAGAATTATCATACATGCAGATGAGCAACTGGACTAATCAGCCAAAAAAACATAAACACATAAAGCAGCTATACTAAAAAGGGGCAGTTTTAGATATATTGTTCATACTAAATCACAGTAACGTTTTTCTCTTTTTTCCTATTGTCAGTATTTTAGGCAAACTAGATCTTGAAATCAATAAATACTACCCCTGTCTCAACTAGAGATATAACTCTAAGGAAAACTTGGTAAACATAAAATGAATTTTGTAATTCATTGAAGTAAATTTCTCTGGAAGATTTATGGAAATTGAGCTCCAACTTTATAAGTCTTTATCATGCAGAAATGTATTAACTCCAGTTACCCTTAACGTAGAGAGTGTAATAGTGCAAATTCTGTTCAGAGATTAGTCTGTGGAAATTTGAGCATACTCTTTGGAATTTGCTGTATCTGTTGAGGAAGTGCATAGAGGCTCTGCTGCTGTTCAGTTTGAGTCACTCTAGTGGCCCCTACAGTCTGTATAGAAAGCATCTCAGTAGATGTAGCGGTAGGTCTAGCAGTGTTAACAGTGTTCCAGGGGTCTCCCGGCGCCCCTCCCAGTCACCAGCCCCATACCCGAGCCAGCAGCTCTCCAGGTTGCCAACACCGTGATTGAGCCGTGCTAATTTTGCTTGAACAGTGTCTGAATGTGCTTCTTTGTGTCCCGTGCTCTCTTGGTGTCAAGCATGAGACACATCTGTGTGGTTGCTCACAGCGGCAGCTCATTCTGGTAGCTGAGGAGCAGGCAGCAGCGAGCCCCTTGTGGCCCTGGGCCCAGATTTAGCTTGTGGCCTTATTTTGTACAGCCTATGAACTAAGAATGGTTTGAAGGATCATAAGGAAAATAAGCAAGGAATAGATGTGTGAGACTGCACGGGGCCTGCAAAGCCTAAAATACCTGCTCTTTAACCCTTTTCAGACAACATTTGCTGACCCTTGTTCTGTAACATTCTAGTGTATAAATATACCACCTCAACTCACCCATTCTGCTCTTGACAGGCATCCCAGGTCTTCCTGCACTCTTGCACAGGTATCTTGGTACAGTAGATTGCAGGTTGTGCTAGGTGACTACCCTGAAGTGGGGTTCCGGGGACTCAGGGTGATACTCAGCCTTGGGAAGTACCACCAAACAGCAGGTTGAGGCAGTGGTACTGTTGTACACTGCTTGGTCCATATGTGGAAGTTCCCTTCACTGCAGACCTTTCCAGCACTTGGCAGTGTCACTCTGAACGTGGGCTGTTTCTGTTTCAGTGATAGCAGACATGGCTTTAATTTGCATTTCTTTGGAGACCACTGAGGTTGAGCTCAGAGGCTTGTGGGCCATTTGGTATGCTCTTATGTGCAGTGCCTCTTTAATGAATGAATTACTGTGGCACGTTTCTATTGGATTATTTGCCTTTTTCTTCTACTGATGCATAAGAATTCTTTATATGTTGTAGGCATGAGTCCTTTGCTTATTTACAAATTACAGATGTCCTCTCCCACTCTGTTGCTTGACCTTTTTCTTGTGTTTTCTGCTCAACAGAGGTTCTTAATTTTATTGTAGTCAGGTTTATCAATATGTTTATTGGAGTGGCCTGTTTAAGAAATCCATACCTACCCTAAGATTTTGAAGACCACTGTCTTGTGTTTTCTTCTAGAAGGTGTATTGTTTTACTTTTTCACATTTAGATCAATATCAAGTGGAGGTGATATTAGTGTATGGAGTGAGGTAGGGGTTACAGTCACGTTTCATTGTTCAGTTGCTATAGTACTGCAGAGTGAAAAGCCAGTATTTCCCATACCCTATTTTGTCACCTTATCACAACTCAAGTCCCAGGTTAGGTATGAGTCTATTTCAGGTTTCTCTATGCTGTGCTATTTGTGTGCTTGTCTGTCCTCGGGCACATCCCACCCTGTCTGAATTACTACTGAATTATAATAAGGCCTGATGACTGCTACTCTTAAGTTTTCCAGCTTTGTTTTTCTTCAAGTGTATCTGAACTTTCTTAGCTGTTTATAGTTCCATAAATATTAGATTCAGCTTGTCAGTGTTCATTTTAATTGTCCCATGGCATCTATAGATTAATTAGGGGAACATTCGGGTCTGTGTATAATTAAGTTATTCAGTCCCTGACCATGGTATATTTTTCCAGTTTTAAAAGCTAATTATTTTATTCACAGTGTTTCAAAAACAGTAACACAGATACTACCCACTCCTATTGTGTACTCTAGTGTCGTCATTCCAACTTCAGATGCAGAGATGCAAATGGATATTTGTAGGCAAAATCAAAATGCTGGCCAAGGAAAAGATCAGTGAAATGAAATTTTTTTTCTGTAGAATCTAGTCTTTGCAAGCAGATGGGATTAGAATAGAGTGAGGATTGAATGCGGGTGAGAGAGGGCCTTCAAATTCATCTGCCCTAGTGACTCAGGTTATATCTCATGCACTTCATCATTACCAGACCTGCCTCGTTGTGACCTTTGAGGTGACCACAAGGGGTATCACGCATAGTTAGCGGGTGTAGCCAGCCGCATCGACAGGGTGATGTCTTGTGTCACATGTGCTGTCCAGGGCAGCCTTGCTCTGCTTATCAGCAGCCTCTATTCCTCCCCTGCAGGATTGTCCTTTCATCGTCTGTATGACGTACGCCTTCCACACTCCGGATAAACTCTGCTTCATTCTTGACCTGATGAACGGTAAGCAAATCCAGAGTCTGTCCCCTGAAAGGCTCTACATAAGGTTCCATCCATCCGGGCAGTGGACATCGAGGCCAGTGTTCAGGTCTTCGTGGTAACCCCCCTTCCCATTTGAAGAAATCTTTCCCCTTTAGTTTTCAGTCAAAATTCATTTCACAACATTGACTGTGATTTCCCTCTGGGCCTGCCAATCTCTCCCTACGAACTTGGATTTTTTAGAAAATATTCTCATAAAATACTGCTGGTGAAATTTGATTTTCTGGAATGCAGCTGGGCTAGGTCTTTAATTAGCGTATTTCCTGGCTCTCAACCCTTAGGAATGAAACACCTCCCAAAAACATAGGCCAGCGACCTGTTTTAAAACCAACTTTGAAGGGCTGACTTTGGGCCAGTACAGATTTTAGCTCAGTGCTCTGTGCTGCACCTTCTGAATCCACAAACTGTGAGCAGTGGCCCAGATTATGCAGAAAATGTCCAACTGGAAAAGTTGCTTTCTGATACAAGTGCCACAGTGTATATTGAAAATGTTTTTAGTAACAAGAACTGAAATTAAAAGGTGCACAAGTCAACCATTCAGATGGCTAGTTTTTTTTTTTAAGTTCACTTGAAGTTTTGAGTGATTTAACATGAGAGTTATCTTGTTTGTTTGGTTTTTTTTTTGGTTTGTTGTTTTTTTTTTTTTTTTTTTTTTTTTTTTTTCCAGTACCAAGAATCGAACTTACAACCTTGTGCTTGCCAGGCAGGCGCTGTGCCACTGAGCTAAATCCCCAGCCCCGAGAGTTGTCTTGTTTTAAAAGAAGGAATTTCACAGACACAATCATGAACCAGATCAGCCAGACTGCAGCACAAATAATACATGCTAAAAAAAAAAATGCTTAAATACAGTTTATTATAGTAAAAGATACATGTCACTTATTCCCCTCAAAATACTCCCCCTGACTTTAAACACACCTCATGGTTCTTGTCTAAAGCAACTCTGGAAGTCCTATTCATGAGTGTCTTTCTGAGGTGTGAGCAAAACTTAAGTGACCACTGCTGAGTGCCATCCAGTGGAAAAGCAGGCTCACAGAAACGTTACAGTGTGTCTTCATACACCTTTTCACCAGATTGGCCCTGTGTGACTTCTGAGTCTTCCCCCAAGTTAAAGTGACCGTGAAAGAAAAATGCTTTGAATCTATCTATTCAGGACATTGAGGTAGCCACACCAGCTCAACTAACAACACTCAGAAAAAGACTTCCAGAACTACTTTAGAAATAGCAAGAAGGACAGAGTGTGTTTGAAGTAAAGGAGAGTATTTTGAGGGAGATAAATGACAATGTGCCTTTTAGTATAGTAATTCTTTTTAAATGTAAACATTCTCTGTATTTTTCAGTCATACCTTGTATTTGCTGGTCAGAACAGATACTGCTAAGGACTGGACAGGGCCGGAGAGTTGGGCCGAAGCCAATACTGTGGCTGGAAAGGGCCTGGGAAGCTTCTGGGATATGACAAATTCAGTCTGGAAGGAGGACAGAGATGCCCCAGTGTTGGGGGCGTACCGTACGTGTAAACACCACAGTGCTGAAGTTGAAGACACATTAATTTTATAAATCAAGACTTTTCCCTATGGCTTATAAAAACATTGCCGTGCCCTGCTGTTGACAGCATTGGCCCTATAATTTGAGTCCACAAGGTTATTTCCTTTTCCCAACATTGTATGATGAAAGATTTCAAACATATGGCAAAGTGGGAAGACTTTTACCGGGGACACTCAGGCACCCACACCCAGATTTTACCTGTTTAAATTTCACTGTATTTGCTTTATCAAGTGTTCGTGACTTGTTGTCTGTAGAGGCAGTTGCTAAACTGTCTTGGTATCTCTGCAGAGATCAATTTAGTTATCAGACAGGGTTTAAGTAGTGCAAGTAAGTCAGCTAGCCCTGCCTTCGATGGAGCAGTGGCAGCTGAGCTGCCAGCGCAGCATTGCTCTGCTCTTATCTCACCCTTCACTGCTTTTAACTCTTCTGACCATCATGTTTCTCTGTAATGTTTAAAGATTTTACCAAACTACAGAAGGCAGGAACAGCATTCACTTTCTCTGCTTCTGTCCTGACTACTTAGGATGACAGTGATTTGTGTTCCCTTCAAACAAACACACTGTGAATTAACATGTGCACCTGATTCCAGGTGGCGACTTGCACTATCACCTCTCACAGCACGGGGTGTTCTCTGAGAAGGAGATGCGTTTTTATGCCACGGAAATCATTCTGGGGCTGGAGCACATGCACAACCGCTTCGTGGTCTATAGAGACTTGAAGGTGAGAATGGCAGATGTGCTGCTTCTGCACAGTGGGCCCAGATGCTGCGCCGATGCCCTCCCAAGTCGCCCCTCCTCTATCTGTGCTGTCCCTTCCCTGATAGCCCCAGCCCAGCCCTGACAGAGTCATTCTCTGTGTGGTGTTTGTCTCTCTGACTCAGTCTCTGCAGGGCCAGAACTTATAGCCAATCATAAACTTAATAATTAGTAAAATAAACAGTCTAGGAATATTGTTAGTGTTGCCTATTTTATAATTACTTGTAGTTCAATTAATCTTCACTAAGCAACTGATTTGGCTGTGACTGTTTGTCAGAACTGGAGATATACTAAGATAAACAGGCTGAGAACATACGGTGGTACCTCAGTTCATGAATGCTTTTGTCTGCAGTTTAGTTTGCAAACAGAAGTGTTTGGCAAAATTTTGTTTCTCTTTGTGAACTCCGCATTGGGTGACAAACACAGCCATGGCCATCTTTCGCAGAAGAACCCGAACGTGGCCATCTTTCCCAGAATCATGGAATGAATTAAGTTTGTGAACTGAGATACCACTATTCTTTTTGTTGTTGTTGTTGCTGTTGCTGTTGTTGTTTTGCAACTTATTAGCTGGCAAACCAGGAATAGAGCAGCAGAGTCCTGGCTCCTCTGAGGCCAGGCTGGTCAGGATGGGTGAATTTCTGATCAGCCTGCAGGATTTCTCCAAAGGTCAGGCTTGCAGTTTCCCACTGTGTTGATATTGCTTTAAAAATCACCAATAGATTTTCAGATTTCTGAACTGTGTAACCCTGATGGCTGTGCTTGGGTCTCTGCTCTTGTCCCAGGACTTAGTCCTATTGCAAGCTTTCCCACGCCAGACCTTGCGCTTGGTCTTGTTTCTCCATGGAGGAGAAAGTCTGGAGCTTGCCCAGTGTGTTCATGGTGACACTCAGCAGGTTGAAGATAGGGATGGCGAGAAAAAGGACCTTGACAAAGTACAGATGGGTTTATACAGATGTGTTAAGGTGAAAATGACAAAGAGAAGAAAATTCACAAGAGTAACAGTTTGCTAGAAGAGTGAGGAGATACCAGGAAGACATACTTGCCTGCTACTTGTGATTCCTGAGATTCAGACCCGCAGAGGCCAGCTGAAACATACAGGTTATATCCCTTTTTCTAAGGAGCTGGGATGTCAGTTAGCTTTTTAACTTACATCCTATAAATCTAAAATGTTATAAATGTACTTTTTGAACATTTCTTTCACAAAATATTTTGTGAATATTAAAGCTCTCTGGGGCTGGGGATTTAGCTCAGCGGCAAAAGCGCCTGCCTGGCAAGTGCAAGGTCGTGAGTTCAGTTCCCGGTACCGGAGAAAAACCAAAAACAAACAAACAAAAAAATATATATTAAAGCTCTCTGCAAGGCTGAATTCCCTTAGTTTTCACATGTGCATAAATAAAGAAAAATAGTATCTTTATTGAATTAGAAATAATTAGACATTGGTTGGCTCATGACATTTTGTTTCCTCATGTGGGCTTTACAGAAAATTGCTGCTGAAGGTCTGTGAAGTGCTATTACAATACATTTTAATTTAAACTTATAACCGGTTTCTAATCATCTTCATGCCATATTTTTGTTTTCTAAGCTATTTAGTTGGCAATGCTATTATTTAATTTCTATTCAAATTGAATTCTAGTCACTCATGATTATTCATGCATCAATTTTATAATAGCATGCCATTATTTTTATTTTAAGAAAAACAATAGTTGATCTCCAGCAGAAAAATATTATTAAGATGACAGTAATTCAATGTGTGTTAGGGAGAGGAGCTTTGTTTTCCATGATTACACTAAATCTAATCTTAATAGATACATTTCACCATCGTGGTGGTGAGAATCACATTTGGTCATTTGGTAAGGCCCTCACTCGAAGATGTACAAATAAACAGAAATGACATTTATCAGGATTAGCGTGGCAGTGTGGAACAGTTAGACTTCTTAGGTTAGCATCTGTATGTTCTTGCAAGGTTCCTTTCTGTTCTGTGCTGTGCGGCTTTGTGCCCTGAAGTCCTGTGATTCACCTAAGCCGCACAACAGGTGGTCCTGCTCCCTGTTGCCAAGCGGTGCCTGATCTGGCTACACTGTGGCTCCTGGCATGGAGTAAAGGAGCTGCTTGCTGTTCCCTCTGATGAACTGTGCCCATGTGTCATTTTCCAAGGAGTAAAGTCTTTCATCTCTTTTACTGCCTCTTCTTTGCTGAAATTAATATGAGCAATGTTGTTCTGTGTGCCCTGCCCTGCTTCCATTGGGAGCACTGCTATAACTGCATGTTTAGGAACAAACTCCGATGGAGAGATACATTAGCAAATGTGCATGCTCTTAGAAGGTCTCCAAGCCCTGTGGCCTGTTGCAACTTCTGATGAGCATCTTCTGTTTCCATTTAGCCTGCAAATATCCTCCTGGATGAGCACGGGCATGTCAGGATCTCCGATCTCGGTCTGGCCTGTGATTTTTCCAAAAAGAAGCCGCATGCAAGCGTGTAAGTGGCTCATCCACTGTGTTGGCTGCCCTTTTCCTTGCTGCAGTTTATTCGTTCCATCAGACGCTGGCTTGGCCATTGTCTCCCACCCCTTCCTCTTGCCACCTGTGGTTTTCAGTGAGTGGTAATGCCAAGTCAGGGGAGGATGCATCACTGCAGGTTTGGGAGTAGAGGTAAGAGTCGGATGCCTCAGGAGCATGAATTGCCCCACAGTGTAACTAGCCTGCTCAGGGAAGGTCTGTGGCAGTGGTACCGAACCTGTGGTATACATGTCTCAGCAGGCTGTTTGTATCGTTGAAAGCTCTAAAAGGTTTGCCATCACTGGTCTATGGGGAGGGTCCGGGCCTCAAGCAGAGAGCTGAATTCATGCTGCCCATGTGACCCTGAGCAAGACCGCTCACCTATTCAACCCTCAATCTCTAGAGCAGCAGTAATAATAGTAAATCCCTTTGTATTGTTAAAAGGATAAATGCAAGAACCCAGGTTCTAAGGGAGGAGTGTATAGCTGTACAGAACTCCCCAAGACAGGGTGTGGGGGTCAAGTTTCCTTCTCTATCTGCTTTTTTCTCCTTTTTAAAAATATTTTTTTCCTCTGAAGAGAACTATTTCCTAAATTGAAGAAACTAATCATCTACTGTCAGTTCAAGCCTCTAATGTGGGTCCTGTTGTTGGATTCAGATATTGCACCAGTTCTTCACGTTGCCACACGGAGGTAACTCCTGGTCCTCAGCTCTGGGCCAGCTCCTGGCACATCAGAGACACTGAGCAGCTGCTGTTGGTGGTGGCCCCATTTGGTCCGGGCTAGTTGATATGGCCCAAGGACGTCCCCTAACTCAGAAACACGACAGGAGGCATGTTTAGACCGCTCTCTCCGGCTCCACAACACAGAATGGAGTCTGCCTTGATGTTCATTTCCTTTTCTTTGGTATCGTTTCATCTGGGTGGGAAGTGGACATGTGTACAATTTCTGATAAAGCAGACAGATTCTGCTTTGTCTTTTTTAAATGTCACATTCTTCCCACTGCATCTTTTAAAATTACACTTTATTATCTCTCTTGAGCCAACATTGGTCCCTGTTGAATGGCCTCGAGGAAACTCTCTGGGGTCTCGTTGCGTGCATCCATGCGGAAAATAAACTACAGATCCATCTCTTTGTGTAACTAGAAGTAAAGTAGTTCTGAATTGCAATCCCTTATGTGGAACTGCATTAAAGTAAAATTGCCTTTTAAAGCTCTGATCAAATGTTAATAGTGAATAGCAGCGTTTCTCTAAACATACTTCTCTTTTTCTGCAGAATCTGGGTATGGCAATAAAAGCATTAGCATTTTGCTAGCACTTTCCATTTATTAGGTTAGAGCCTGTGGTTGTATAAGCTTCTCCCAGGGAGTTCCTCAGATGTTTTTAAGAGAGTCATTTAAATGTTTAATGCCACAGCTATTTGGTATGCTAATTTCTGCAATTTACTGTAGTTGTAACTATGAACCCAAGAGTTCATAAGAGTTAATCTTCCAAAAGAATTAACTTTCAGACATGGGGTTAATTATTTCCTTTTACAGCCCTACTTCTTGCTCAAATTCATATCAGCTCTGAGAGGTGGGCTCTTCTGCCCACCTTAGGAAGCTCGGTATTTGAATAGCATCAGTGGAGGGGTTGGGTGAGAAGGCTGGTTTACATGTTAATTGGTAAGAGTGGTACCTTTACTTTAAAAGCTACATGTACAGTGAATGCTAACCTTTTGTGAACCCAGGGCCTTCCCGCTGAGCCTCATCCTCAGCCCTTTTTATCTTTTATTTTGAGACAGAATCTTTCCAGATTGCTCAGGCTGAGCTTGAACTTTCTATCTTCCTCCCCTCCACCTTCCAGATGCTGGAATTAAGGTGTGTACCGCCACACCTGTCTGATATGCTACATTTTTAAAAGAAGGAGGCTTTTTGTGACTGAGAACAAAGGTGTCAGAGCCACCAGGGTTTGAATTTCTTCTCCAGCTTGTCTGAGCCTCATTTCTCTCTTCTATAAAGGAGAGCACCATGGCATGTCCCTCCGAGGGTGGTATGAAGCGAGGAGGCCAGTTAGTAATTCAGTATTTATTTCACACTCACTCTGTGTGAGGTACAGAAGTAAGACACAACTGGTCCCTGACTTGGAACTAGAGGCCCAGGGAACTTTGTTCATGAAGTGGCCAGCATGAGGGGAGGCAGTGGGAAGCACTGCAGCATTGACTGTGTTATCAACTGGATGTTGTTGTAGGCCTCACTGGCAGCTCTGAATGTGATAACCCCATAAATCATGGGTATTGTTACCCACTTTTTATGGTATGCAAATTGAGGTCTTAAGAAGTTAAGTCTCTTGACCAAGGTCATGTGACTGTGCATAGTGCGGGCTGGAATTACAGCCCACCTGTCAGATGCCAGAGCCCATGCTCTTTCCTTTATAGAAGTGAACACCCTGAAGCTTTGACGTCATCTATAGAGCTTGGTCTAGGTTACAGATTTTTGTCCAGAATCTCACCCTGTACTTGGTTTCTCAGGTCATAACTGCAGCTGTGATCCTCAGACTTCATCTGCTGGCCGGGCCATTTGTAGGGTAGTGTTGTGATTGAAGTTCATGAGCTGAGCTTAGACTCGGTCCACCTAGTGCCAGAATCACAAATCATTATAAATTTGATTCATTCATCTGTGGAACACCCACAAGAATTTAAAAGAAAACTTTTGGAGTTGAACAGATTGTCAGTGACTAATGTGATTCTTAGCTTATTTTATCTAGGAACATAAAGCTGTGTCTCATGTCACAATGTCTTAAATGTTCAAGTGTTCTTCAGTATTAATAGTAATCCAAATCTTTAGCAAAATGCCATGGCAGAATCAGAAGGCCGCAGTGCAGGCAATCCAGTGTTTTGCTTTCATCGTGTCCAGTGCACACTCAGAGTTGCTCTGCGTTAGCTTTGTATTTATTCTTGTAGGTGTCTTTCCATCCAGAGTTGTGATTTGGTCCTGAGAATTATTAGCTAAGCAGTCACCACAAATGGCTTTTCCAGGCAACACTGAAAATTAAACCTTCCCAGAAGAGGGTTTGGCTGCCCTTGTAGAGGTCCCTGATATACTCAGCGTGGCTCAGTGATCTTATCCTGGAGCTTTCCATAGAGCTGGACCCACCATCATGGCCCAGAGCCCATTGTTGCCTTTTACTAAAGCTCTTTCAAAACATCCCTCTTAGACAGGGGCCGCTGGGCTCTGTGGTAACCTGGGATCCTTAGTGATCCGGGCTTCTGAGCAGATCCTCAGCTGTACCTGAGCATAAGTATGTTACAAGTGGCCATACCCACATAAGAGCAGGGATTAAATCCCTGACATGGGTTGAGCTCTTACTGTCTGCCAGCACCATTCTTAACCTGTGCCATATCTGCAGTCCTCACAGCACCCCTGAGAGGTAGAGCCATCATCTTATTACTCATTCTGTTGATGAAGAAAATTACTGAGGGATGGAGAGGTTGCAAGACATATAGAGAATGGCTTTTCCAAGGTCCCCGCTGGACTGTATCTTGGAGAGCTCCCCCGCCCCCAGAGCTCCTCTGGCCGCTCATGATGGAGCAGTGTACACCCTCGGCTCTTAGTGATCTGGTACAGAGTGTAGAACAGGTAGACAGTGGGGATGAGAAAAATGAGTATTCTCTCAAGGGATTTCTTACGTCCTGCTAATCATCTTCATGTGTGCTTAGTGCTGAGTCCTTAGGTGCTGAGCGGGTGTCAGAGCCTGATGTAGCATCTCTACCTCACGTCCTCAAGGCCTTTGTCCCCAGTCCCAGCCCCGTCCCCTGGGCACTTTTCAACTCAAGCCCAAACAAGCATCCCCACTGTTGGCACATGTGAGCTCAGGTCCTTGCACAGAAGGTGGCACAGCAAGGACTGGATGTCACCTGCCCTCAGGTGCACAGCACCGCAACACAGTCACCTGCCCACCGCCGCTCCTTCCCTCCCTGGTCCCCAGGTAGCCTGTGCCAGGGCCCTTGAAAAGGCAGGAAAGCATTAGCCCCCTTCGTGGCGGGACAAAGGGGCTAAGGAACTGTGCGATTCAGATCTCACCTCCCAGACTCAGGGACTCCTCTCTGCACATTCACGTGCTGAGTTAAGTTGTTTCTGAATTTACACACTAATAGAGATGGGGAATATTGGACATGCAGTGCAGTGAGTGTAGAAGCCAGTGTGCCCCCTGCTTGGTTGTTGTCCTCTCCTATGGCGCCCGTGCTTCCTGGTCAGCTGTCAGTGTGCTGTCCTGAGGTGAGCCTGCTCTGATGACTGCTCTGATGACCATGTGTCCTGCCTTCTCCGCAGGGGCACCCATGGGTACATGGCTCCTGAGGTGCTGCAGAAGGGGACAGCCTACGACAGCAGTGCTGACTGGTTCTCCCTGGGCTGCATGCTCTTCAAACTTCTGAGGGGGTGAGTGGAACCGCCATGCTGCCCAAATCCAGAATGCTCTTTACCTTGCAGTTTCCCAGTCAAAATTTACCTCTTCCCATTTCGTCTGTGAGCAGTCCTGCAGAGCGGTTCCAGCTGCATGCCTGATGGAGTCCCGGTGCATCTTCCGATTCTGTTTAGCTGACTCTGAAGGGAGACTGATTTCCTCAGACCCCAAAACCAGGGTCCAGACACTTGCACTGTTTCCTCAGGACACTGATAATCTTTTTGTTCTCTGCTCACCATGTTCACTGGGGATCTAAAATTGCGTTATTGCTTAGAAAGTCGGGTCTGTTATTCCATAATCAAATCATTGCATTTGTGGAGCCTGCATGGCTTTAATTCCCGTCTTCAGACTAGCTGACCTGATTAGAGAGTTTATGCAAAGCAAACTAGAGCAAGCCATTTCCCCCATGAGAGCCTTTCTCTCTGATGGTGTCCATTGTGAGTCCAGGGAGACACCAGTAGTCTTTGTTCCTGTCCCTGCTGGATACGGGGTCAGACAGGAAGACTCGGTGCCTACAGAGTCTGGGGATGAGGGCAAACTGAGCATCGGCCAGCCTATCAAAGGCAGCAGTCGGGGGCTGGGGATTTAGCTCAGCAGCAAAAGCGCCTGCCTGGCAAGCGCAGGGTCGTGAGTTCGGTTCCCGGTACCGGAGAAAAACAAAAAACAAACAAAAAAAAAAAAACAAAGGCAGCAGTCGGCAGTGAAATGTAACAGGGCTGTCCATGAAGCCTCGCCTTTAGGGCTTTGTTTGCATCTTTTGTTGTTCTATTTGTGAAAAATGTCAGGGCATATACTAGGATCTGGTATAGCACTACTTTCTTTTCTGGAAGACTGGAGGATTTTATACTTTTGGTCCAATACTGTGGCTTGTGGCTGATAAAGTGAATTTACTCTTCTTACTTGGCCCCAGTCAAGTTCGGGATACTGCTGAACCGGAAGATATTAGTCTCCCTACGTGGAGTTCTGGATCGGGCTTGTTGGGAGCATTATGTTCTGTGTGGCTTCTATCAAGGGAGCGTTGCCAGCCAGGAGGACAGCGGAGGATGGCCCTGAGGACAGGGTGGGAAGAGTGGTGACTGAGGGAGATAATGGGCTTCTATCCAAAGGCTGACAGAGCCAGCCACAGAATGTAGAGACCGGAACAATCAGCCCCAGCATTTGGAAGGCCATCCTCCGGAGGAAATTGTTTTCATGCAGCCTGACTGCAGAGGGTAGGCATGCTACGGGGGGAAAGATTGCAGTTTGACACAAGAATGTATTTGAGCTGCCCAAGAAGGAGCACTCTCTCACAGATAGCAGTCTCCCCATCGCTATCTAGTGAGCTGACCATGAATTGAGCCTGAAATGGAAGAATCCTTCCAGCTTCTGACAGGTAGAGTCAGTGACTCTTTCCAAATGAGATCTATGATCTTATACCATCCCTTCTATTACGTTTTCAGACATCCTTCAGGGAAAGGATATAGCACTCAGACCACAGAGCAGGAAATGTGTTTTGACTTAAGTGATTTAAATTAAAGTTGATAAACATGTCTTGAGTACTCAGAATACACAAGCGACCACTGGATGCAGGGGGCACGTGCGCCCACACAGGACAGGAGCCACATGAGCTGTGCCAGTGTGTATGGGCGGTGGCCATGTGCCGGGGGCACACAGAAATGGGAGCACAACCAAACTTGGCAGAACAGGGCCAGCAGTCACGTGGGAGATGGAGTGCAAAGTGGGCTTTGAAGGACAGACAGGATGACAGCACAAGACGAGGTAGGGAGGGACCAGGTGTATCTATGTGGAGGGGACACCAAGGACCAGGCTGCTGTTCTCCTTGGTACCCAGGGCGTGGTGGGCGCCATGTCTGAGGAGTGCGGTTGCTGGGAGGAGGGGAGAGGACTGGATCAAGGGTGCTGCGGGGCCTCGAATGCCTTTATCCCATGGTCCCAGAGACTGAGGCCTTCAAGCCGAGGAGTGACATGGTTCTTGGGAGGTTTGTCAGGAAAAGGGTTCGGGCAGCAGCAGGCAGCGGTTGAGGGAGGGGAAGGCATGGGAGCCTTAAGGAAGGCATGTCATGGAGTGCCTGTCATGGAGGCAGGTGGCAAAACACCAAAACGGAGTCAGCATCCCTGATGCCACAGCCTTTCACAGATGCATGGATATGGGAGGACAGGCGTTAAAAATGGTGCCACTGTAAGTAATTGGTGTGTGGGGGGGAGTGATACCATTGCCAAAATCAGCAGTTGTAAAACTGTGGAGGTTCAGAGTAAACCAGTGTTGCCTCGGGCCTTCCAGACACAGACCCCTGTGATGGGGGTGGCAGGGGTGGCCACGCACAGGAGTCTTCATTCCCTGAACTGTGAATGCAGGAGAATGCCACCTGTGCCACTTGTCCCACTCCCTGACAAAGCTTCCTGTGGAAAACCTCAGCACAGTGTCTAGCAATACCCTGTGCATTCATACACATCTAGGACACCAGCCCCAACGGCTGTCCTTTCTCTGACACAAGAAACACAAATGAGTGGAGCAGGAGGCTGAGTGGCCAGAGCACCAAGCCAGCACCAGTGGCGTCTCCTGAGCCGATAGTCATAAGGTGTCATTTGCAGTTTATATGTCCTGTGACGTAGTCCTCCCACTGAGCAGTGTGTGTATGCTGTTTGCTCTGCCAAACCACTGTTCTGCATACCTCTTTCTGCCTGATGCCCCAGAACAGAGGTAGCAAACCTATGGCATGAGTGCCACAGCAGGCTGTTTGTATCACTGAAAGTTCTAGGGGCTGGGGATTTAGCTCAGCGGCAAAGCGCCTGCCTGGCAAGCACAAGGTCGTGAGTTCGGTTCCCGGTACTGGAGAAAAACCAAAACCAAAAACAAAAAAAAAAAAAGAAAGAAAGTTCTAGAAGGTTCATCATCACTGCAGAAGGACAGCCTCAGGACAAAGCATTTGGAGCAGGGATCTGGATGGGAGGACACTGTCAGGCTCCAGAAGGTGTCTGTGTTCCTGGGCTCACAGCAATGAACCGGCCCATTCATACATCATGTTTATGGCTGTGGTCATTGCGTCTGTCTCAAATGACTTTGCCAGGTGTCTAACAGCACCCACTGCAAAGCTGTGGCATTGCCATCATGATTCTCCATCTAGACTGAAGATACGTGTTACGGAAAAGAATTGATGTGGCAGTGGCCTCACTCACAAGCTTGTCACCATTGACTGTCCGTGCCTGGAGGTGTCTGACATCAGGCAAGAGCCTGGCAGGTGGTGGCTTGGGAAGAGTTGACAGTTGCCTGGAGTTACCGAGTTTGCGCCATGTGAGGAAAAAGTAGGAACGTTTGCAAATATTTTGGCAACTATGGGCTCAAGACTCAAAAGCCATATTTGATATAACATCCAATCTTTCTGACATTCAAAAATTAATTTTTGATGTGAGAATCTTTAATCTCTTGTAACTGTCTTGTTTTTGAACTCACTGTTGCACCATGAATTTGATACTCGAGTGTGGGGTGTGCCTGTTTCTGCATCCTGTTGAACGATTTTCCAGTGTCTTAGGAGGACACGGTCGACTTTCCCACCGTCGGTAACACACAAGCTGCACTCGACCACTGCACAGAGTTCTGTTCCCACACTGTTCCCTGACGTGCCCAGGGAACTCGGCCCTGCACCATGAGATGGTGACAGGCCTGTTGGTGTCTCCTATTTAAAGCAGGCTGCACCAGGGAGCTGCTGCCGTTACACAGGGTCTGTGAGCACCACGTGCCCCACTCGGAATGGAGATTATTACTATCAGAGGTTTTCTTTAGCATTTTCCAAAATAGAAGCCAAATCTTTGGCTTTCTTCACAGAGAATAATCAAGACTGCATTGGAAACAGATGTGCATCAAGATCTTAACTTGAAAGCCCAAGCTTTCTCCACAAGGAAGCATAGAGTTGAATAGCTGAAAAGCAATTTCTGATAATTCCTTATTGAGTGGGACATGGGAGCACTATATTTATAAATGGAAACTTACAGGGCTTGGCCCCATGTGCTGGCAATGTTTTTAGCACCACCAGCTTCCACTCCAGTCCCTTTGCAGGCCTCCCTGTGGTCTCGTGAAAGGCTTTAAAGTTAGCCCACATGTTCTGCAAGCTCGGGGCGTGGCCTTGCCTTCTGGCACCCGAGCGGGTGAAGACAAAAGGCTGTCGTCACCCCTTTTGTGCTGCTGCATCAGAATACCACGGGCTGGGAAATTGATGAAGAAAAGACATTTATTTGGCTCACAGTTCTGGAGTCTGAGCTGTCCAAGAGTGAGGCACTGACGTCTGGTAAAGGCTTTTGTGCTGCATCCTAACAGGATAGAGAGCATCCTATGGGCAGAGAGCAAGAGGAAGCCAAACACACTTCGTAACGACCCACTGCTGCCACAGATAACCCGTTCCCCTGATAACTAACTGATGCTTGCCGCAGCTAACCCTCCCTGCAATAACTAACACATGCCCTTGATAACTACCCCCATAACAGCCTGTCCATTCATGAAGATGGAGTTGTGGAGACCTCGTCACCTCTTAAAGGTCCTTCCCCTCGGTATCACAGTGGCAGTTAAATTGCATCATGAGTTTTGGAGGCAACATTCGCTCCATGGCAGAATCAGGGTTAGGGCGGGGTCCTCTGGCTCTGCACACAGGAGCCCAGTCAGGAGGACTGGCCATTGAAGATCTTCACTGGACCTCTTTTTATGTCTGAGAAACATTGTTGGTCAGAAACAGCTAAGGGTCAAGGAGAGAGACTGATGTGTTAATAAGATTAATAAACTTGTATTCCCTTTCTGCAGAACAGTCAACCTGTTGGTATTTCTGTGGATTTTACACCAAAGAAAATGATAAAAGCATGATTTTGTGTAAAACTCACAATATCTTATCGATAACAAATACCTTGTTTGCTTTCCAGTGTAGTCACTGTGCATTTTTCTCCATGGAAACAAAGTGAAAAGAATATTTCCAGTCAAAGTCTATTTTAAAAGATTACCAATGCTTGCTTAGTTCCAGTTCTCGTTTTGTTTTTCAGAGTAATGCTTTTAAGAGATGGAAATTACTTTGTATTTCATTGCATGATGAGGAAGAAAATAAAGTTGGAGGGTGCCCTCTGTTGTACAGAGAGAAAATTAAATTACTGTATTTAAGCAATAAATCACCTCTGGAAGGGGCAGGTCACTGCCCTCCCTGCCTGCCTCAGTGGGTGGCCAGCTCCGAAGGCAGGAAGCGCCAGCAAAAGGACAAGTGACGTTTCTGTTCCCTTTTTGAAAGCCCTTCGTTGAGGTGCTCAGCGTTTCAATCCATTTGGTGAAGGTCACATTAAAGTACTTCGCATAATACTTGCCTCAGGTTATGGCATAAATGTCTTATCAATAACCTGACAGGGCTAGTCACTCTACAGGCATTGGTTGCTTGCTGTAAGAAAAACGTCTGTAATGCTTCTTTAAATTTTTTTTTTTTTTTTTTTGTCTTTTTGAGACAGGGTCTCGCTATGCAGTTCAGGCTGGCCTTGAACTCACTTTGCAGCCAAGGCTGGTCTCAAACTTGCAGTGATCCTCCTGCCTCAGCCTCCTAAGTGCTGGGATTACAGGCATGCGCCACCACGCCTGGCTGCTTCTTTAATTTTTAAGTAAATTAAGAGACTATGATGTTTTAGCTTGTATATTTAAAAGTGTCTTTTAATGATAGAATTTTCCTTAAAAGTCAGCTTCTCCAGAGATTTTAAAACATGGCAGAGAGTAAGGGTAACCTGTTCTATATAGTTTACCAAGTTGAAGATTCATTTTGTAAAGTAAGAATTGTCTCTGTTAATTTTACAAGGGCCGGGGAAATAGTTCAGTGGCACAAGTACCTGCCTGGAAAGTGCAAGGTCCTGAGTTCGATTCCCACTACCAAAAAAAGTGATTAGTATACTATGTGCCTATTGTACATTGCTGTCATCGGGACGACCCGCACCATCACTTTTGAGTTTTTCTTCACCTTCCCTTTTTAACTTCCCTTTCCTTCCCTTCTGTGAAGTGTGAGTCATGATCCCCATTTTACAGAGAAAGCATTAGTACTGAAGGGGGCCTCCTGGCTCACAGCCAGTAAACAGCTGGGTCACACCTTTCCCGGCTTTCCTGACTCAGAAGTACAGGGCCCTGCATGGGCGAAACCTGAGTAGGAGCCCGGGTCTCCAGGGACCTGGCAGTGGACGATTGTTTATGTCTGTTGCAGCTAAAGGAATAGATCGCTCACCTTTACTGGCCTCTGGGCTGACTCTTGTTCATCTTGATCTCGCTGTAGTTTGACTCCATTTCCATGGGTAGTTGTAGGGCCAGTGTCCACTTTGCTAAAATAATTGTGCTGAAGTTACTGTTTGCTCAGATACTCGTGACACTATGTAAGTGACTCATATTCTCATGATTATCTATTGATAAAATTGATATTGACCCTAATGATACTTTAATAATATTGATATATATTGTTTATATAAAATGTTAGTTATATAAAATATATATTTTAATAATACTTATATTGCCCCTAATGATATTTTAATTGGAAAATCACATTTCAGTGCCACAATTTCACTGACCTAAGGACCAGGCAGATCAGGTGAGATGGAGTGTGGCTCATTCAGGCCCTCATGTATTTGGTCAGCAGTTTTTTTCTGGAAATGATAAATGTTTATGGCTTTTGCATTTCTATAGTTTCAATTAATACTTTACCCAAATGTTAGTGCGTGTGCTAACTTACGTGACGCCATGTTTTAATAAACTGTTTTCTTTATTTTTACAGTCACAGCCCTTTCAGACAACACAAAACCAAAGATAAGCATGAGATAGACCGAATGACACTCACCGTGGTAAGGGGATGAAAAAATGTATTCTTATTTGCATGATAGTGTTTTCATGTTTTATTCCACTAATACTAAAATTGCTATATTATAGAAAGTAGCCTAAAAATAATAGCTGTAGTATATTAATATAAAAAGCATAAACAGTTGCCTTCCTGAAGTAAATAAATGAAGATAAAATTACTGGAAGAATTTTTTTTTTTGAACCAGGAATCGAACTTAGGACCTTGTGCTTGCCAGGCAGGCACTTTGCCACTGAGCCATCTCCCTGGCCCTAAAAGGAAAATAAAAATGAACTAAATGTTAGGGGGAAATCAAGGTTTGCAAACAGCGTAAAAAAGACATGAAAAGAAGAAACCAAGGAAATCAAATAAAAGGAGCAGTTACTACGGTGCAGAGGAGGGAGGCAGCTTCTGAGTCTTCAGATCTGGCACCAGCCTGTTGACTGGTTTTGAAACTGATTAGTGACCTGTATATGTTTCTACGTTTCTTTTTATGTTTATGTGGCAGTATCAGCCCACAATGAATCTGCAGTTTCTCCTGCTGTACTTACATAAAGTAGCCTCGAACTGGTTGGTGTGAGGGTCTGTGAGGTCTCTCTCTTCTTTTCCCAGAATGTGGAGCTCCCAGATGCCTTTTCCCCCGAGCTGAAGTCACTTCTGGAAGGCCTGCTACAGCGTGAAGTGAGCAAGCGGCTGGGCTGCCACGGAGGCGGGTAAGCCCCGCTTCTGCCGTTCATTTTCCTTACACCGAAAGTGGAACAGTTATTTTGAATATATCAGAAGGCATGCCTAGTCCTTAAAATTCCATTTTGGACTTGGGGGAGAAATCACGCAGGGAATATATGTATAATTCCCTACGTGTTTTTGTAACTAAGAAGTTGAAGGAGTCAATCACTTTTTAACTCTAAAAATCAAACTTGTAGATGGTGGAGATGAGTTCTGATATCTTATAGTCCATCTGCAGACGTTTCAGTCATACTTACTTTTGGATTGTGGGGGGTGATGTTATGATCAGGTTCTCACGTATTTCCTCTTAGGCATAACCCACTGACTTTGCTTTAACTATAACACAGGCTTTCCGTTCCCCACCACCAACACCCCCAAACACTCATACCGGAAAGCTTATTGAGAAGAGCTTACACCAGATTCTTCCCATATCTCATCACACCCAAGCTTGCCTTGCATGGAAACCACCTTTCACAGCATGGTACATGGGTGTGTGCCACATGTGTGTAGTGTATATGCATTCTTGAGAGTAGCACGTATGTATGTACGTGTATTATACCTGTATAGTGTGTGTATGTTATAGAGATAGCTAAATAATATACTCATGTGTATTTGCTCACTTACCAGTTTACCTAAGAGACTGCCTGCTCCTCCTGTAACAAACGAAGATTTACTTGATTGTTACACTCTCTGCAGCCTTCCTTTTCCCTCGCCTCTCGAGAGCTGAAATACTATGTTTGGTTCTTGTGTTTCCCTTATAGTTCTAAGTTACATATTCAGCCAGTCGTGCCTTTTCCATCAACAGTGAACAGGGTCTCCTGAGTCCCTGCTTGATGCTGTGGGGCAGGAATTCTGATATTCTCATCACTCACGGTCTGCCTCTCTCTCGTGCATTGTTGTCGTGTTACTTTTTGGTTTTGTCATACCAAGTTGGTGCGGTTTTCTCCGTTCTTTGAGCATAGTGAATCGTAGTCAGTCTTTGTGCTTTGCATGCATATAGATCTGCTTCAAATGAAGAAGCAGTGTGTCCATGCTGTTCATTCCACAGTTTCTACTTTCGCTTAGTCTACCTGAGGTTACATATATACACACATATATGTGTGTGTGTCACAGTTGTGTGCTTTCACTTTTCCCTTACTCTCCTTTTGCGGTGGACCCAGTCTACCAGCTCCGCTGGGAACAGAGATCTCTCTCCTCTCCTTTCCTCCCGCTTCTCCCTTCTCCTTTTCCCCTCTCCCTCCCCTCACCCCATCCCTCTAGTCAGCACTGTTCTTTTTCATGCTCCTCGTTTGACTGCCATTTACTTGACCCCCCGCCTTCTGGTCTTCAGGTCTTCAGGGTCCCCTCTCTTCTAGCCAGAGTTCATTCCCAAGTCACTCCTTAGATCTGTGAGAGGATGTGAGGGTGATCTGGCTGCAACATCTGTCAACCTCTTGGTGGCCAGGGTTGATTTGGCGGATCTGATTTGGCTGGCTGGGCGGATGTCCCCTGCCTCCCTCAGCGCTGCATGTGCGTCCCTCCTGGAGCTGTGTGCTCAGTTAAGCGGACAACTGCCCGATAGAGGAGGACCGTTCCTCGGTCAAGGGTATACAAGTGGCTGCATTCCCCTGCTAGAACCTCCAGACAGGCTCCCAAGAGAGATCTGTGAGGGCCCCGTTTCTGAATCTTAGTTATCTGAAATTTCTTCCCACTGTCTTCAAACATAACTGCTGCCCATGCTTGATAGAGGACTCAAAATCAGTATTACTTTTACCCCTGAACTTTGAAGATGGCGTTTTATTGCACTCAAGCAAACAGTCAGTGCTGGTCATTGAGTTCAGTTATCACATCCCTCATGACGTCAGGCACTTCTGTTCCAAGACTCATGTCCTTCAGTGTGAAGAATACTCTTACTTTACTAATTTGACATTTCCTGTCCTCTATTTCTCTTAGAACTCCTATTAAACAAATATTAGGATTTCTTCTCTGATGCTCCCGATCTTGTGTTTTATCTTTATCTTCACTTTGGTTCTTTGTTTTGCTTTCTGATTTTTTAAATGTTCATCCTTAACTGATTTCTTTCTTAAAATCTTCAGCAAATTTAATTTCTTAGAAGCTTTCAAGAATTCTCCCTCCTAATAACCCTAATACGGAGGTTTGGATGTGGGTGTGTGTATGTATGCGTGCGTGCTCACACTTACACTAAGGTCAAAGCCTCCATGCATTGAGTTCTAGTTCTGTGCCCCACACACACAAGTGCTGCTGAGTTGGGCGGTCAGTACATTGACCCTGTCCCCAGGAGAGCAGCTCTGTCACTCTGCCATCAGCACCCCCACCGCCCCCCGTCCATATGACCTGACTGCAAGGTGTGTAGGGCACTTGGACACGTGGGCCTTCTGGGTGCTTGTCATGGAGGCAGGGTGCTTGTCATGGAGATGTGGGAGTCAAAGGACAGATAAAGGCACAGAAGAACCTGGACTGGGCCAGATGCCCCCAGAACCTGTGGAGGACGGAGCTGAGGAGCAGCACTGGGGTGTGTGACACAGACTGGACCGAGAGGAACCTGCTAGGGGCACAGGGTTATGGGCTTAGCTTACAACCTTGGTTCTATATGCACGGAGTCTTAATTGTGACCTTCAAGAGATTTGTTATTTTAGCCTCTAAAGGTGTTTGACATGCACTGTATGATTAAATTTCTAGTTTTTACTTAAATACTTGGTGCTTCAGATTCCTAACATTTTCACGATCAAACTTGTAGTCATTTGCCATAAATTTCTTTAAAGTGTGGATCTCCATTTTCTCACATAAATTGCATTCTAACAACCACAGAATTATCATATATATCATATATAATTATCCTTTATGTACATTCTACTGCCCACTTTTAAGGTTTTTACTATAACACATACATCTCCATGTGATATGTGAGACAGACATATGCGTACGTCATTCTGTAGAAACTCCTCCATGATCACAAACTGGAAGAAGCATCCCACACAAAGGATCATATGGGACAGTAGTCCCAGGCGCAGTGTTTCTAAGCACTGCGACGCTTCCTGTGCTGCTCGGTGGGAAGCCCTCTTTACTGGCTTCCTTAAAGAGCTGGCGATAATTCCTGTGTCCCTAACGGGAGACACTGTGTGCAAAGGCTCTGTTGTATTTCCAAATGCCGACTCAGCACTGTGGGAACACTTTCTCTCTTCACCAGCGCGCAGGAAGTGAAAGAGCACAGCTTCTTCAAGGGTGTCGACTGGCAGCATGTCTACCTCCAAAAGGTACTGCTCCCCAGGCTCCCCCGCTCCCCCTGAGCCCCTCCCCTCTCTCTCCACGCTGCTGGCTTCCTGGTTCTGTCCCCCAGGGCTCCCGCCTCAGCTCCCCATGTGCACAGAGCTCAGGGACAAGTTCCTCCTCACCTCCTCGTGCGGTCAGCCCTGTGTATCTGCAGCTTCCGTATCTGCAGATCCAGCCAACCGCGGATGGGACACCCGCAGGAAGAGGACTGTGTCTGCACCCAGTGTGTGCAGACCTTTTCTTGTCGTTATTCCTCCCTACACAGTATAGCATAACCGCCGCCTACACAGCATGTACAGTGCATCAAGGATACCTACTCTAGAGATCATTTAAATATATGGCAGGACCGCATCAGTGATACACAAATACTGTGCCGTTGTAGACCAGAGGTTGGAGCATGTGTGAATCTTGGTGTCCAGCGGGTCCTAGAGCCCATCTCCTAGAGTAACTGAGGGACAACTCCAAAAATTATGAAAATATATTTTCTATGAATTCATCAAAAATCCATGTAACTGAGACTTCTGTAGCCTTTTGCTCATCTTCTTAAACCCTTCTCAACACATGACCACATGTTTGCACAGAGCTATATCAAAGTATTCCAGACACTTCTGGTACAAGTTTATGTGTATTTGTTCACCCAGCACCACATAATTTTCAAAATTAATGTTTTTATATCAACGTAATTCCCTTTCCTTATTTTTTATTTTTATATTTGTTTGGTGCTGGAGGTGGAACCCAGCTATGCACGTGCTCTCCCCGGCCACGCCCCAGCCGTGTCCTTACTGAAGTGTGACTGTTCTCGCTGAGACAGGAAACACCTCAGTGTTTTCCCAGCGTTGGTTATCTTCTTTGCCCTCCTTTCCCTATGAACTCAGCCTTGCAGCGGAGTGGGGCCTTCGCGAGTGTGGAGCGTGTGAGCGCCTAGTCCTGCTGAATTACACTCAGTGCACGGCCACACGTTCGGTCGCACTGCTGGTGACTGGGCTGGTGCTCAGTGTGGCCCCAGCAAGTCCAAAGCATTTGCAACCATTGTCTGGGACCAGGCGCTTCCTCAAAACTTGGGGGGGCAGGGGGCACGGTGCAGTCTAGAGGCTTTATCTTATTTGAACATTATTTAAGTTTGGACATGAGTCTTTTTCCTTCACTTTGCCTGGACCAGCAGTCTTTCCCTGGGACTCTCTGTTGCAAAGGCTCAAGTGCGACTGCGCAGTGTGGCTACAGGCGCTGAGTAGAGCACTGCACAGCGGCGGGGCAGGCTGAGGTCGGAGCATTGGGGGAAGTGGCTGTAAAGGCCTCATAAGCGAGCCCTGCTTCTCTGACTCTTCCAGTACCCACCCCCACTGATCCCTCCCCGGGGAGAAGTCAATGCTGCGGACGCTTTTGACATTGGCTCATTTGATGAAGAGGATACGAAAGGCATTAAGGTACAGAGGTGACAGTTTTGGGTTTACTTTTTTTTAACAAAACTTGGGGGGGCAGGGGGCACGGTGCAGTTTCTGTTGGGAATCAGTTAAACTTAGTAATTGTCTCAGTATGCGGCTCTTTGTGGAATGTAATGTACAAATGAGGAGCTATGTATTTGAGACCCATCCTGCCTGGCTAACTCAGTGAGATCCTGCCTCAAAATGAAAAATAAAATAAAAAGAGCTGGGATGTAGTTCAGTGTGAAGGCCCTTGGTTCAATCCTTGGTACTAGGAGAAAAAAGAGAGAAAAAGACCTAAATTAACTAAAAACCAGGAAAGTTTTCATTGTACTAATAATTTTATTTTCAATGAATTACAAAATGGTCAGATTTTTATTGACTCGGAATATTGGGGTTGAAAGATAGCTTGAATATATATAAAGCAGGGAAAACCAACTCTGATCTCAAACCTATTTCACCTAGAGCACAAGCGCCAGTTGTTTGAATCCTACTGAGTACTTGGATCTCTTTGTGTCGGGATGAAAACTGCAGTCAGTGTGAATCATTTTGCATTTGTCAGTCAGAGGTGAAATAATCACTGTTTTTTACCTCATCCTCTGCATTTTTCAAGCTTTTGTTCATATCATTATTTTTCCAAGTAGAGACAAGACATAATTACACGTGGTGAGTCATGAGAGAAAAATCACTGTCTTTAAAACGCTAAGTCAAAGTCTATCACTAGATGTCACGCGGTAACCTGTCCCCGCCCTGACAGCTTCTCCAGGTGTCCCCACTGTCTTGAACCCCCAGCTCTTCTCAGCTGCCTGCTATTGTCCTCCTCTGCAGATCCCTACATTTGTCCCTCCAAGCACCTGCTCCCCAGCGAAGGCGGTGACGTTGTGGTGACACTCACCTGTAAGGTGTGAAGACAGGGAAGGCTGTAGAAGGCAAGGAGCTGTCGCTAGAAACATCCAGAACACCACACAGGCAGATGGGGAGGCGGGGGGAGCGGCACACAGACAGCAGGTGCTTGGGTGGGTGGCTGGGAGGGAGCAGCAGCTGGGTAGAGCTGGTGGTGGCACCAGGAGCGGAGGGCTGAGCCAGAAAGACTATCAGGATGTCCTCAGCAGCGGCTCCCAGGAGGTGGGGTTGGGTCCAGGCAACGTGGGGAGGGCGGAGGCCACAGAGCAGAGGTGCGGGGCTGATGAGCAGCTCAGAGGCATCTGTGATCTGGGCCATAACTGTCCCGGGACAGCAGCAAGAGCAGTGCCCAGACCTGGCATCACTCAGCATCGTCCACAGCCTCGCTGGTCGGTGCCTGCCAGGAGTGTGATGCCTGCGGCAGAGTGGGCCGTGGGGAGCGAGCCTCTGACAGAGCTGGTGAAAGGGATTGCTGCTGTCACGATGGAACTTCATCATCAGATGTGCTGCTACCCATCGAAGGGCACTAAAAATAAAGCTGCTATTATGTGGCATCTCACCAGACGTTATGTTAAAACGAGTCTCTCATATTTAAAATTTTTGTAAACAAGAATCTAGGCTTTAAAGGCATCAGACTCAGCTCAGACCTGCCACTTGGCAGTAGGATGCGTTTGGGCTGTTCCTTAACCTCTTGGGAGCCTTGGGCTTCCCACCTGTGAAGTGGGTGCTTTTGTTGTCAGGCTCACTGTGAGCGTAAGGGAGACGACATAAGCCTCCTGGCACAGTCAGTGCTTAACAAACCAGCTTCTACCTGGGGCTTGGGGGACAAGGGCGGGCGGAGGTGGAAGTTGGGAGGGGCAGGGCCGCAGCCGTGAGTGTGGAGGCTCAGTCCAGCGAAGGGAGCTGTGTTGGTGTTTGTTAGTGGGGTGGAACGTAGGGGTGCTGCACCACTGAGCTGCATCCCTAGTGCTTTTCATTTTTTTGACATAGGGTCTCACTACGTTGCCCAGGCTGGGGTCAGACTTACTATCCTGCCTCAGCCTCCTGAGAACTTGAGATTATAGGCATGAGCACCACATCCATCCAAGCCACTTCTTAGAAAATGATCTATTCTTTAACTTTGTGAGGCAACCCAAAGAATATGAAGGTGCATGCGGGCTCAGGCCACACCCTTTCCAAACGTGCGCCTGTGCATCTGCGTCTGGGCGCCCAGCACAGGCAACTGCGGGCTTGGTGCCTCCACCTCCCCGGCACACGCTCACTCCCGCTCGCACCCTGGTGTGCACACGCCTCTCCCCTGCACAACTACAGAGGGTCCCAGCTCTGGGCGTGGTGTGGACATTGGAAGAAAGTAGAAAGGGGGAAGGCTCTGCCGATCCACATAACCACAGATGGGACCTTGTTGTGACAGCTGGTCAGACTGGAGAGCTACGGCCCTGGAGGGGGTGACAGGACAGTGGTGCTTCTCGTGTTCTCTGATTTGCTGAGGCACCAGGGCAGGAGCTGCCTTGTCCTGTCTTCAAATACCTTGCTACAGCACCTGTGTCCGTCCGTCTGTTTCCCAGACCTAGACAGCTTATGAAGGAGGAGATCAAACCTCTCAAGAGATCGTGCGTCTGACAGGCTGTATTTCTAGCAGGATGGCTCAGTCTTCTGCCGTCCTTCTGATGGCTAAAACAACTTTTTTTGTTGTTGTTGCTCATTTTCAAAGTGCAGTCAAACCACTTTGAAGATATCAATATGTAATACAACAAGCATTGTTAATTTCCTACCACTTTGTTTGTAACTCTGTATTGTCTGTACTGTTCTTTTGCTATTTTGTAAAACGTTGTCTGTCTGTTAATGTTTTTCTCCTTTTATTTTTAAAATTAAAAAAAACAACAACAAAGTGCAGTCTCACTGAAAGGGCAGAATGAAGAATCTGAGGAATCATGGGAGAGAAAAATGCTATCATTAAATGTAATTTTTATTACACCAGCTCTTGGAGGTTATGTTGCCAAAACACTATGTGTCTTGTGCCTTCTATTTATACACACAATTGTAGTGTTTAATTAGTTGGAAGATTTGTGTAATGTTAAACTCGGCCTAGCTTACCTTGTGTTTTCCTGACTGTACAGATTAACTGAAGGTAGGTTGGAAAGCCCTCATAATTATAAGTGTATTATGTAATATGTGCTGTAATTATTTCTAATACTATACAGGCGTGTTTTCCTGCATTTATAAGTAATATATCCTGATGATAATTAAAATTTTACTTAGTCACCAGAATCTTTTAATACTTCAGTAAAACCCCTATGTGTTAGTTTTTTTTTTTTTTTTTTTTTTTTTTTTTTTTTTTTTTTTTTTTTTTTTTTGGTCTTTTTGAGACAGGGTCTCACTGTGCAGTTCGGGCTGGCCTTGAACTCACTTTGTAGCCCAGAATGGTCTCAAACTTGCAAGGATCCTCCTGCCTCAGCCTCCCAAGTGCTGGGATTACAGGCATGCGCCACCACATCCAGGTGTAGTTTTCACTGACAAAAATGCCATGAAGATGGAACAGAAGATGAGGCCCCGTCTACCTGACCTGCATCGAGCGAGGTGCTAGTCAGTTATGACCATAAATTCTGGTGGCTTGAGTCATTGTCGGTGGAGATCTGTCACAGCTGAAAGCTCACAGTGATTACGTGCTGTCTTCCAGCTGTCCGCATGTGTACAGCTGTGCTAGTCACCATGGTGTAGTGCTGTTGACCCGTTGTTGTCTCTGAAAATATGCTAAATCACAAATATTTTGATTTCCTAATAAGCTGCTTGATTGCGACCAAGAACTCTACAAGAACTTCCCTTTGGTCATCTCTGAGCGCTGGCAGCAGGAAGTGACAGAGACGGTTTATGAGGCAGTAAACACAGACACTGATAAAATCGAAGCCAGGAAGAGAGCAAAAAATAAGCAACTGGGCCATGAGGAAGGTAAAACGGCTGATGTGTCTTGATAGGTTTTAAATGCAATGAATTTTCACAATTTCTTACGAAGCTAAAAAAGCATTTGGGTCATACAGTATTTCCCAGCAGAGTAAAAACTACGCTGGTTAGGGCCAGGGAGATAACTCAGTGGCATAAGCTCGTGCCGCGCAAGTGCAAGGTCCTGAGTTCAATTCCCAGTACCAAAACAAACAAAATGCTGGTCATTATTTTAGTTTGGTGTGGATTGGGAGTTTGGTTAATATTTCAAAGTCTTCAGTCAGCATATAAACAAGTGCATTGGGACAGCCAGCCTTCTTTCATCTAAATCACCTAGCAGGGAGTACTGGGGGCTGGGTAGGAAGCTTGCTCCTTGCCGACACAGTGGGGAAGCGTCAGGAACAGGGCTAGCCTAACTGATGTGTGTCCTGCGCAGTCGCCCAGGCACAGGATGAATGCTCTGCTGTCTCCATTTCAAGTGTCTCAAAGTGCAAACGAGTGGAAACCTTTGAGTATGGGTCTGCACATTCACTTTGCACGGGGCCCCTAACATGGGTGGGGTCCCGGGGAGGAACTTGGTGTGACACATCGCTTTTTAGGAGAGAGAAATATGTGAGTATATTAAGTTACAAAATATGTTAAGTTAAAGAACAGCCAAATAGGAGCCAGGCATGGTGATGCGTGCCTGTCATCGCACCTCTTGGGCGGCCGAGGTGGTAGGATTATACCAAGTTTGAGACCAGCCTGGGCTACAAAGTGAGCTCCAGGCTGACCTGAACTGCATAGTGAGACCCTGTCTCAAAAAGACCAAGAAAAAAAAATCCCAATAGGATTTCCAAAATGGAAAACATCATCAAGTGATCAAAAATCACCCATTTTTTTTTTGAACTGGAAATCGAACTCAGAACCTTGCACTTACCAAAGGTAGGCGCTGTGTCACTGAGCTATATCCCCTGCCCCTAAATTTATTATCGTTGATTAAGGTAAAAATGTCATCTCATTTTCCCTCTCAGCTAAGACCCTGCGAAGGTGGGCCAAAGACACTTTCACTCTATTTAAAGATTCCACTGGTGGAAGCCTCTTGGTGTAGGAGTCTCTGGTCCTCTTTGACAGTTTCCCAGGGGCATTTATCACCTACCTAGAGCAGCAGCTTCAGTTCTGGGTGATTTACTCCTTACATGGTTACTGCCAGAATGGAACAAGGGAGTGCTGCACCCCTTTAACTGTCCCCCACCCCAGTTCTGCAGGGACACAGCCTGTATGTGTGAGCTGCTCTTCAGAGCACCCGTCTCTTGGGGTCACACAGGTGTGTGCTTGCCAGGACAGATGTCCCACGGAACTTGTACCAGCAGTCACTTGCCAGGATAGTCCTAGGAACCTGATAAATTAGACCCAGGAAAAATATGTATCCTAGTGACTGCTGAAATGTGTTCTTTTAATTAGAACTATAATTAGATGGAACATGTAACAAATGAGTGAACTGATTTTCATATATTAATAAGTAATATCTTGGTAAATACTTCTCATATAACTAGATCTTGGTTGACGATTTCAGAAATTTTTCTACAGAAAAATGTACAGTCTAGGCTTAGATCGCTGAAGAACAAACTTTTTTGGGGGGGGTATGGGGACTTGAACTCAGGACCGTATGCTTACCAGGCAGGTCCTGTGCCAGTGGGCTACATCCCTGGCTGAGGCTTAGCTCTTTGGGGAAGAAACAGATACTTCCATTTTAAATACTTTGGAAATGCAAGCATGTTCCAGATTGCAGTGGCAGTGCCTCAAGCCACACCTGGCCCCAAGTGACCCTCCCTGCGGCCCTCCTTCCCGAGCCCTCTCCTGATGGTCCAGCATGGCTTTGCCTCTTTGCTTACTGTCTGAAGCTCACACTAGACTGTGAGTTTCACAAGGCCGGGATTTTGCCCATTTTGTACGTTGCTGAATCCAGAACAAGCCCAGCACTTGGGCTTGCACAGACTGCTTGTTGGATGAATGAATGAATGTCGGTGACCAACTGATTGTAACACAGTCACAAACCTTTCTATGAAGGCTAAAAAATTACCCTTTTTTAAAGAGGTGGTATCTCAAAAAGGTAGTCAGGGCTCAACACGAATGTGACAGCCGTGTGTGTGAGGAACAAGCCTGACCTACGGCTAAGGCGTGAACGGGATGTGACCCTGTATCACCTCAGCTAGCTGAGACAAGGACGTCCCCGCTGTAGGAGTGTTTGTGGGATGAAAGATAGAGTAGATAGTCTCAGTGCTGCAGATGGGCAGAGGGACTTGGGGACGGCTCAGGTTTACCGAGAGGTTTACTCTCTGTTCATCATTATTTACGTACAGTAGGAGAGGAAAGGTTTGGAACAAAGCTGGGCCTCTCCAAGGCATAAATGAGCACTGGGGGTTCACTGGAACCCCAGAAAGCAGCTGTGTAACACATTGGTAGACAGTTGGACACCTGAGTTCAGACGCTCAGTTCCCACGTGTTTCAAAACAGAAGTGATCATTTCTGTAATGCGTTAGAGTCACAGACGGGTGGCTTTCCCCGGAAGCGTGTCGCTGCGGATTCCCGGGAACATGCCTGCTGCCGCGAGCCCACCCTGCCCTGGGCCCTGGGTAACTCTCGGTGTCTCCGCCCTCAGATTACGCCCTGGGCAAGGACTGCATCCTGCACGGGCACATGCTGAAGCTGGGCAACCCCTTCCTCACGCAGTGGCAGCGCCGCTACTTCTACCTCTTCCCGAACAGGCTGGAGTGGAGAGGAGAGGGCGAGTCCCGGGTGAGTCCTGGCGGGCGCGTCCAGCGCAGCTGCCGGCGTGTGGTGTCACGTGGTGCCCACCTGTTGCCGACGTGTTTTCCAGAACATCTCCCCAAGCCCTGTGTGTCTCGGTGTACATCGCAAGACTACAGCACTCACGCTTCCACCGTTAAACATCCAGGCCCGCGTCAGGGAAGGGCCATCTAGTCTCTGAAAATAGCAGGTGTCTTCTAGAGAGAACCAAGTCCAAGGCTCTGAGTCCTTAGATGGCTTGAGCAGTTGGCAGGTCAGGGAGACGAGGGCAGCTGGGAAAGGGAACAGACAGCCGCAGTCCAGGGCCCCCGGGACACGGAGCCCGTTCCGTCGCCTCTCTGAGCCTGTTTCCTC